AGATGTGTTTTAACATCTAATAAAGTACCTTTTATGCCATGCATTACTTTCAGCTCAGGAAATGGAATAAAGTCGTTCGAGTCACATAAATCTTTTTATATGGCAAATACCCCTTGTATACCAATTTCTTAAAATCAAATCCGGAAATTAACATTTATGATTGTACCTCAATGGTGCATTAAAATTTCATTAACAAGCGTCTAATGTGTCTTTCCAAAATGGGTTTGTGATATGGAAGTGTTTTTGAATATTAGCGCCCAAACGGAAAATGTCTTGTAAGCTTTTTTATTTAGAAAATAAATCGTTTGATACAGGCTAACCTAAGTGAGTAAAATAAACATTGTAATATCAACCATTCTAAGGCCACCATCTTCATATTTTCGAGGGGGCACGGGTGGCCCAGTCGTCTAAGGCGCCGCAATTCGCTGTGCAGAGTTGCGTCCCTTGGGCACGCCAGAAACCTATTGTTGTGGGTTCGAATCCCGGTTCACCCCAATTATGTTTCTAGGTTTGTCAGCACCGTACCCGTACTGGTGGGTTTCACCGAAGTGGTAAACGTCTGAGACCTGCATCACTTCGGGCTTTCCTCCCATATTAAGCTGACACGCCGTGATATAACTGGAATACTGTTAAAAGCGGCGTTAAACCCAACTCACTCACCCACTCACTCATATTTTCGAACTCTGTTTACTCCTTATATTTTGTCTTTCTTTCCATTCCATATGAAATTTAAAAAAATGCTATTTAATTCTTTTATAAATTCTTTTTGGGGATTTGGTAAATCAGTTAAAATATGAACAATAGTTGACAAAGCCAAGGTTTGTTATTACGGTTATTTTCCCGATTAATGTCAAGTTGCGTTTCCGCCAGTTTGAAAGAATTCTTTTAATTGTTTCCAGTCTTTTTACTAGTGTTGATAACCCAAAGGGTTTTTTTTCAAATCAGCGTTTAGTTAAATTCCAAGTACATCGAAATGAACGTTTTGCCAGTCAAATGTCAAATCAGAACATAATGTGATTGAACTCCCTGCCATTGAGCCTGACCATATGGCTAACCGTTCGCTAGTACAGTTCACGCCATGCTCCCGGCTCTGCAGCTCACCGTAAATGATGAGATGCACACTTCGCTCCACGGATTAGTGTGCAATTTTGATGCGACTGCTCACCAGGGGAAAACATCGCATTACGCCGCCTTCAGGCTTTTATATACACTGGTGAACAGTGGAATAATGGTCAGCTGGAGATGGGCGTTACCCTCGATCAGGGCCCGGTGTACCAGATACCATAGACGGGTATATGATGGTCCCTGGGTGTACATTTCCTCAATATTCTCCCCTACTCAAGTTACGGCAGCAATGGGGTTGTGTTGCTCTATCTGTGTTGGGGTGTGTATGGTAAAGTGGGTAATAAAGTATCTGAGACGAATCTCTGCCAAGGCTATTAATGATGTGCTTTCACTAGCTGTGACCTTTTGCTCGACAATATACGGTCATTGACCTGTTCCGATTCGTTTTGAAACTGTTCCTTTCCTTGTGACAAGGGACCTTCAGGTGCTGAGACACACGCAGCTCTGTATGCAAGGGACCTTCAGGTGCTGAGACACACACAGCCCTGTATGCAAGGGACCTTCAGGTGCTGAGACACACACAGCCCTGTATGCAAAGGACCTCCAGGTGCTGAGACACACACAGCCCTGTATGCAAGGGACCTTCAGGTGCTGAGACACACCCAGTCCTGTATGCAAGGGACCTTCAGGTGCTGAGACACACACATCCCTGTATGCAAGGGACCTTCAGGTGCTGAGACACATACAGTCCTGTATGCAAGGGACCTTCAGGTGCTGAGACACACACAGCCCTGTATGCATGGGTCCTCCAGGTGCTGAGACACACACATCCCTGTATGCAAGGGACCTTCAGGTGCTGAGACACACACAGCCCTGTATGCAAGGGACCTTCAGGTGCTGAGACACACACAGCCCTGTATGCAAGGGACCTTCAGGTGCTGAGACACACACAGCCCTGTATGCAAGGGACCTTCAGGTGCTGAGACACACACAGCCCTGTATGCAAAGGACCTCCAGGTGCTGAGACACACACAGCCCTGTATGCAAGGGACCTTCAGGTGCTGAGACACACCCAGTCCTGTATGCAAGGGACCTTCAGGTGCTGAGACACACACAGCCCTGTATGCAAGGGACCTTCAGGTGCTGAGACACATACAGTCCTGTATGCAAGGGACCTTCAGGTGCTGAGACACACACAGCCCTGTATGCATGGGTCCTCCAGGTGCTGAGACACACACAGCCCTGTATGCAAGGGACCTTCAGGTGCTGAGACACACACATCCCTGTATGCAAGGGACCTTCAGGTGCTGAGACACACACAGCCCTGTATGCAAGGGACCTTCAGGTGCTGAGACACACACAGCCCTGTATGCAAGGGACCTTCAGGTGCTGAGACACACACAGCCCTGTATGCATGGGTCCTCCAGGTGCTGAGACACACACAACCCTGTATGCAAGGGACCTTCAGGTGCTGAGACACACACAACCCTGAATGCATGGAAGGGACCTTCAGGTGCTGAGACACACACAGCCCTGAATGCAAGGAAGGGACCTTCAGGTGCTGAGGCACACACAGCCCTGTATGCAAGGGAGGGACCTTCAGGTGCTAAGACACACACAGCCCTGTATGCAAGGGACCTTCAGGTGCTAAGACACACACAGTCCTGTATGCAAGGGACCTTCAGGTGCTGAGACACACACAGCCCTGTATGCAAGGGACCTTCAGGTGCTGAGACACACACAGCCCTGTATGCAAGGATCCTCCAGATGCTGAGACACACACAGCCCTGTATGCTTGAACATTAATTGGTACTCCCTGGCAGACACACCTGCATGTATATCAACTATCAAATCCCATTTCAACCATCCAATCCATATTTTAGTCAGGTCTCTGAAGCAGCGTGGGGTATTCGACTATTGGTCAACTCAACTCGAAAGGGTGCACGGGAATCACGCACGCATGAATACGGTGTTAGCGTTGGGCGTCTCAACGTGAGTGATTCCCGTGCACCCTTTCAAGTTGAATTGATTGGTTCAACTGTGTCATATGGCCCTGTGACGCAGGGGTATTATTATGCAGATGGCTGTTTCAATGAATGCTCTTTCCACCCGTGACGAACAGGTCTGGTTGTTGATGAAATATGGTGATAGCTAAATAGACAGATTTTTTATTCATGCACCAATTTCTTTAAATGTAATATCCAGTTATGTATGACTGTTTAATAATCTCATACCAACTTTGACTGGAGTAGGTCCAATAGTTTTTTCAGATATTGTAGTAAACGTCGGTACCTTAAATTAACTTCCAGACTATAGATCAAACGAATGTGGTTGAGTCGACTGCTCAAGTGATAATTTCAAGGACTGAGGGATAAGAAGCAAAAACTACATTTCCAACAGTCACTAGCTTGTCATGACGATGAAGCTCACCAACATACACAGTCTACGAATGTATTGGATCCAGGCCCCTGAAGTACTGTCAAGGATAGATATCTAATCAAAGAATTTAAAAAGATTCATTGTCGGACAAATTTATTCATAAAAAAACTGACATATTCTGTTTGATACTTTTATGAACATTCATGTCTGGATATTTCCTGTGAACATAGTAAACTAACAATCAACTCTCTGATTAGATTAGTAACATAATTGACAATCATTCGCCATTCTGTCTTGTTGTCAAACTAGCAATAGAACAATCAGTGCTCCATTATTGACCAGTTACCATTCACTTTAGTATTAAAGATACACCTTGTTCGAAGAGAGAGCATTTCAGTTATATCACAGCCTGACAGCTAAATATTGGAGAACAAGTCAAAGTAGACATTTGCTGACAATGCAAGGATCATAATTTATGTTGGTTGGTTGGTTGGTTTGTTGTTTAACGCCGCACTCAGCAATATTCCAGCTATATGACGGCGGTCTGTAAATAATCCAGTCTGGACCAGACAATCCAGTGATTAATATCATGAGCATCGATCCACGCAATTGGGATCGATGACATGCATCAACCAAGTCAGTGAGCCTGACCACCAAATCCCGTTTGTCGCCTTTTTCGACAAACAAAGTCGCCTTTGATGGCAAGCATGGGTTGCTGAAGACCTATTCTACCCCGGAATCTTCACGGGTCCATAATTTATGTGAAATCTGTGATTCTAGTCAAAGATTAGCAGATCCTGGCATGGCACTGAGCACAACTTTGTTCGTTTGTTGTTAAACGACACACTCAGCAATATTTCAGCCATATGACGGTGGTCCGTAAATAATCGAGTCTGGACCAGACAATCCAGTGATTGACATCACGAGCATCGATCTAAGCAATTTGGATAGATGACATTCTTCAACCAAGTCAGCGAGTCTGACCACCCGATCCCGTTAGTCGCTTCTGTGCACAGCAGGCCTCTAGCCCACCTCTGCCCCCCTCTCTTCACAACTTGTCAAGCAGTCTTCTGAACTGTGAATATGACAGCCACATTAGGCTTAGGTGTTGATAACAGCCACAAGATCTGAATGAGGTAAAAGTACTCAGCATAATGTTGAATTACCATTGCAGTTTGGTAAGAATTCAAGCCAATCTCATTATAATCATATCTTTGTTCTCACTACTGCTAAACAAAGATCTGAGGACATCCCATTCATCAAACCAATCAGAGCGTCGCGTACCAGATCATGAAAGTGACAGTCGGAATGTGTTTTCTAATCATGCAACCACGAAATATTTAACACGGGGTATTCCGAACGACAATTACGGGTTTTATGGATTATACCCATACAATCTGGGCCATCTATAAGCCATTCCAGAGTGTTCTTCTTATCAGTTTTAATTTTTTTAATCGAGAATACGTCAAAATATGTTTCGAAGCGTAGTCGCCAGTTTGATACTAGTATCGTAAAGCTCGAGAAAGCTGCCTCCTGATTTGCTAATGTTGATTTCTTGTCAGTCATTTCATTGGTCGGTCAAAATTTGCGAGAGGACGTTCTGACGTGACCCGTAATGGGATGTCCTCAGATCTTTGTTAAGCGGTAGCAAAAACTAAGATCTGATTTTAATGAGATTGGAATTAAAGCAAGTCTAGTTGATATCGTCAACAACAAAACTGACATGACATCATTTTATATAATACAGTATCACATTATTGATATTAAGAATAATGTCAATAAACACTGTTTCAAATTGGCTGTATCATGTGTTTTCATTATGGCACCCAGTTTATTATACAGGCAGGGACACTGGACATAATGTAGTGATGACTGAGTCAGGACAATCTTGATATACTGCAGTTCTGATTAAAGACACATATCTCACAGTACACTCATATATAATCATCAGTCATTGTTGTCATAACTTTGTTTCTTTCTGTCTAATCCTCCAGACCATTTTCTCCTCGTCGGTACATTCTGAAACAAGAAACAAAGAGATGAAACAGGAGCAGACATGCACCCTCACCGTCACAATACACCCTCGCTGTCACCAATACACCCTCACCGTCACAATACACCCTCGCTGTCACCAATACTCCCTCACCGTCACAATACACCCTCGCTGTCACCAATACACCCTCACTGTCACCAACACACCCTCAATGTCACCAACACACCCGCACTATCACCAATACACCCTCACTGTCACAACACACCCCCACTATCACCAATACACCCTCACTGTCACAACACACCCCCACTATCACCAATACACCCTCACTGTCACCAACGCACCCCCACTATCACCAATACACCCTCACTGTCACCAACACACCCTCACTGTCACAACACACCCCAACTATCACCAATACACCCTCACTGTCACCAACACATCCTCACTGTCACCAATACACCCTCAATGTCACCAATACACCCTCACTGTCACCAACACACCCTCACTGTCACCAATACACCCTCAATGTCACCAACACACCCCCACTATCACCAATACACCCTCAATGTCACCAACACACCCCCACTATCACCAATACACCCTCACTGTCACAACACACCCCCACTATCACCAATACACCCTCACTGTCACAACACACCCCCACTATCACCAATAAACCCTCAATGTCACCAACACACCCCCACTATCACCAACACATCCTCACTGTCACCAATACACCCTCACTGTCACAACACACCCCCACTATCACCAATACACCCTCACTGTCACCAATACACGCTCACCCTCACAATACACCCTCATTGTCACCAATACACCCTCAATGTCACCAATACACCCTCAATGTCACCAATACACCCTCAATGTCACCAATGCACGCTCACCGTCACCAATACACCCTCAATGTCACCAATACACGCTCACCGTCACAATACACCCTCATTGTCACCAATACACCCTCAATGTCACCAATACACGCTCACCCTCACAATACACCCTCATTGTCACCAATACACCCTCAATGTCACCAATACACCCTCAATGTCACCAATACACCCTCAATGTCACCAATACACGCTCAATGTCACCAATACACCCTCAATGTCACCAATACACGCTCACCATCACAATACACCCTTATTGTCACCAGTACACCCTCACTATCACCAATACACCCTCACTATCACCAACACACTCTCAATGTCACCAACACACCCTCAATGTCACTAATACACCCTCACCGTCACCCTTACATCCTGACTGTCACGCATACACACTCACTGTCACCAATACACCCTCACCGTCACAATATACCCCCACTATCACCAATACACCCTCACTGTCACAATACACCCCCACTATCACCAATACACCCTCACTGTCACCAACACACCCTCAATGTCACCAATACACCCTCAATGTCACCAATACACCCTCAATGTCACCAGTACACCCTCAATGTCACCAATACACCCTCACTGTCACCAACACACCCTCAATGTCACCAATACACCCTCACTGTCACCAATACACCCTCAATGTCACCAGTACACCCCCACTGTCACCAACACACCCTCAATGTCACCAATACACCCTCACTGTCACCAACACACCCTCAATGTCACCGATACACCCTCAATGGCACCCGTACACCCTCACTGTCACCAACACACCCTCAATGTCACCAGTACACCCTCAATGTCACCAATACACCCTCACTGTCACCAACACACCCTCAATGTCACCAATACGCCCTCACTGTCACCAATACACCCTCACTGTCACCAATACACCCTCAATGTCACCAATAAACCCTCACTGTCACTAATACACCCTCACTGTCACTAATACATCCTCACTGTCACCAATACATCCTGACTGTCACGCATACACACTCACTGTCACCAATACACCCTCACCGTCACAATACACCCTCGCTGTCACCAATACACCCTCACTGTCACAATACATCCTAACTGTCACCAACACACCCTCGCTGTCACCAATACACCCTCAATGTCACCAATACACCCTCAATGTCACCAATACACCCTCAATGTCACCAATACACCCTCACTATCACCAATACATCCTAACTGTCACCAACACACCCTCGCTGTCACCAATACAACCTCAATGTCACAATACACCCTCAATGTCACAATACCTCAATGTCACCAATACACCCTCAATGTCACCAATACACCCTCAATGTCACCAACACACCCTCAATGTCACCAGCACACCCTCAACGACACCAATACACCCTCACTGTCACTAATACACCGTCACTGTCACGAACACACCCTCAATGTCACTAATAAACTCCAACGACACCAATACACCCTCACTGTCACTAATAAACCCTCAACGACACCAATACACCCTCACTGTCACTAATACACCCTCACTGTCACGAACACACCCTCACTGTCACAAATACACCCTCAATGTCACCAATACACCCTCACCGTCACCCATACATCCTGACTGTCACGAATACACACTCACTGTCACCAATACACCCTCACCAGCACAATACACCCTCACTGTCACCAATACACCCTCATTGTCACCAGTACACCCCCACTATCACCAATACACCCTCACTGTCACCAACACACCCTCAATGTCACCAATACACCCTCACTGTCACCCTTACACGCTCACTGTCACCCTTACGCCCTCACAGTCACCCTTACACCCTCACTGTCACCCTTACACGCTCACTGTCACCCTTACGCCCTCACAGTCACCCTTACGCCCTCAAGGTCACAGTCACCCTTACGCCCTCACTGTCACCAATACATCTCATTGTCACCAATACACCCTCAATGTCACATATACACCCTCATTGTAACCAATACACCCTCAATGTCACCAATACACCCTCAATGTCACCAATACACCCTCACTGTCACCAACATGTCATCAACATACCTTCAGTCACCAATCCTCATCTGAACCAATGGTATACAGTTGCCGATTGGTTAATAGCCAGGTTCATCATACTGAAGATGGGGCACTATTCCCATCATGGGTACAATTTGAAAGCTGTGACATGGCCAGGATATGGAAAAGGGACATTTAGCTGAACTCACTAAGATACCAAGTGAGTGTATTTCAAGATTTTCAAAGTGTTGTTAACCAAATTTAAAATTAACAAATTCAACTTAGTGTGGTCAAATCTACAGGTAACCCAGCTCCATGTAAGAAACACAACATGTTCATGTCCTAATTGACACGGCTCAAATACAGTCAAGTCTCGTTAATCCAACACTTGTTAATTCGACAATCAGCTTTGGCCGACAGAAATGACGGGAACCGTTTTAATCAATGCTATTTAGACCCGTTAATCTGACAGTCTCGCACTCCGACTCCGACACACCTAATTTGCAACGAATTGTTGAAATCACTCATTAATATATCAGTCTCGTGAATCTGAGACAGTGATCAGCGTACTCCGTGGTCATCATTTTTCATTTTCCTACGTGTTCGTATTGTTATCTATTGTGTAGTTGTCTAATTTTCGATCACAAACGTTTATACTACGTAATTTCGTTTATCCGATTTACTCCTTAATCCGACATAATCATATGCAACCAACGATGTCGGATTAACGGAACTTGACTGTATTGTTCTACACTCACCAACTTTATTTTCAGCCTTGAGCTTCTGCAGGTGCTGAAAAACATTTCCTGCTGCTGCCATGTGTAGGTTCTCGGGGGTGTCCTGAAACAGATAGAAACCCTGTACACCCTAGCATACCTCTACACCCCAGCATACCTCTACACCCAAGCACCCTACACCCTAGCATGCCTCTGCCATGTAAAGGTTCTCGGGGGTGTCCTGAAACAGGTAAAAACCCCGTACACCCTAGCATACCTTTACATCCTAGCATACATCTACACCCCAGCATACCTCTACAACCCAGCAAACCTTTACACCCCAGCATACCTCTACACCCCAGCACCCTACACCCTAGCATGCCTCTGCCATGTGAAGGTTCTCGGGGGTGTCCTGAAACAGGTAGAAACCCTGTACACCCTAGCATACCTCTACATCCTAGCATACCTCTACACCCTAGCATACTTCTACAACCCAGCATACCTCTACACTCCAGCATACCTCTACTTCCTAGCATACCTCTACATCCCAGCATACCTTTACACACAAGCATACCTCTACACCCTAGCATTCCTCTACACCCTAGCATACCTCTACACCCCAGCATACCTTTACACCCCAGCATACCTCTACACCCTAGCACCCTACACCCTAGCATGCCTCTGCCATGTGAAGGTTCTCAGGGGTGTCCTGAAACAGGTAGAAACCCTGTACACCCTAGCATACCTCTACATCCTAGCATACCTCTACACCCCAGCATACCTTTACACCCCAGCATACCTCTACACCCCAGCACCCTACACCCTAGCATGCCTCTGCCATGTGAAGATTCTCGGGGTTGTCCTGAAACAGGTAGAAACCCTGTACACCCTAGCATACCTCTACATCCTAGCATACCTCTACACCCCAGCATACCTTTACACCCCAGCAAACCTCTACACCCCAGCACCCTACACCCTAGCATGCCTCTGTCATGTGAAGGTTGTCGGGGGTGTCCTGAAACAGGTAGAAACCCTGTACACCCTAGCATACCTCTACATCCTAGCATACCTCTACATCCTAGCATACCTCTACACCCTAGCATACCTCTACACCCTAGCATACCTCTACATCCTAGCATACCTCTACATCCTAGCATACCTCTACATCCTAGCATACCTCTACATCCCAGCATACCTCTACATCCTAGCATACCACTACACCCTAGCATACCTCTACACCCCAGCATACCTCTACACCCCAGCACCCTACACCCTAGCATACCTCTACACCCTAGCATACCTCTACATCCTAGCATACCTCTACATCCAAGCATACCTCTACACCCTAGCATACATCTACATCCCAGCATACCTCTACATCCTAGCATACCTCTACACCCCAGCATACCTCTACACCCTAGCATACCTCTACATCCTAGCATACCTCTACACCCCAGCACCCTACACCCTACATCCTAGCATACCTCTACACCCCAGCATACCTCTTCACCCCAGCAGCCTACACCCTAGCATACCTCTACATCCTAGCATACCTCTACACCCCAGCACCCTACACCCTAGTATACCTCTACATCCCAGCATACCTCTACATCCTAGCATACCACTACACCCTAGCATACCTCTACACCCCAGCATACCTCTACACCCCAGCACCCTACACCCTAGCATACCTCTACACCCTAGCATACCTCTACATCCTAGCATACCTCTACACCCCAGCATACCTTTACACCCCAGCATACCTCTACACCCCAGCACCCTACACCCTAGCATGCCTCTGCCATGTGAAGATTCTCGGGGGTGTCCTGAAACAGGTAGAAACCCTGTACACCCTAGCATACCTCTACATCCTAGCATACCTCTACACCCCAGCATACCTCTACACCCCAGCACCCTACACCCTAGCATGCCTCTGTCATGTGAAGGTTGTCGGGGGTGTCCTGAAACAGGTAGAAACCCTGTACACCCTAGCATACCTCTACATCCTAGCATACCTCTACATCCTAGCATACCTCTACACCCTAGCATACCTCTACATCCTAGCATACCTCTACATCCTAGCATACCTCTACATCCTAGCATACCTCTACATCCCAGCATACCTCTACATCCTAGCATACCACTACACCCTAGCATACCTCTACACCCCAGCATACCTCTACACCCCAGCACCCTACACCCTAGCATACCTCTACACCCTAGCATACCTCTACATCCTAGCATACCTCTACATCCAAGCATACCTCTACACCCTAGCATACATCTACATCCCAGCATACCTCTACATCCTAGCATACCTCTACACCCCAGCATACCTCTACACCCTAGCATACCTCTACATCCTAGCATACCTCTACACCCCAGCACCCTACACCCTACATCCTAGCATACCTCTACACCCAAGCATACCTCTTCACCTCAGCAGCCTACACCCTAGCATACCTCTACATCCTAGCATACCTCTACACCCCAGCACCCTACACCCTAGCATACCTCTACATCCTAGCATACCTCTACACCCCAGCATACCTCTACACCCTAGCATACCTCTACACCCAAGCATACCTCTACACCCCAGCATACCTTTACACTCAAGCATACCTCTACACCCCAGCACCCTACACCCTAGCATGCCTCTGCCATGTGAAGGTTCTCATGGGAGTCCTGAAACAGATAGAAACCCTGTACACCCTAGCATACCTCTACAACCCAGCATACCTCTACACCACAGCATACCTCTACACCATAGCATACCTCTACACCCCAGCATACCCCTACACTCCAGCACACCTCTACATCTCAGCAAAGCATGTGCACCCTAGCATATCCTGTACACTCCAGCATACCTCTACACCTCAGCATAACATGTGCACCCTACCATACACTATACACCTCAGCATACCTCTACACCTCAGCATACTTCTACACCCTAGCACCCTACACCCTAGCATACCTCTCCCATGTGGAGGTTCTCGGGGGTGTCCTGAAACAGGTAGATACTATGTACACCCTAGCATACCTCTACATCCTAGCATACCTCTTCCATGTGGAGGTTCTCGGGGGTGTCCTGAAACAGGTAGATACTATGTACACCCTAGCATACCTCTACATCCTAGCATACCTCTTCCATGTGGAGGTTCTCGGGGGTGTCCTGAAACAGGTACATACTATGTACACCCTAGCATACCTCTACACCCTACTAACCTATCGTGTACATTCTCACATATCCAGTACACCGAACTACTTGATGATCTGAATACCTATTTTTCTAGTTGATACATTGACACGTCCAGCCGCTTTTCTCCTGGCAGCAGGACACATACACAGATCTCTTATCTGCGGACTTCAGTAGTCTAGTAAAATCTTACGCCATGCTTGAATGCTGAGAGTTACTTCCCTTTGCTTCCCCTCAAGCGCACACGCTGACATTACACTGATATTTCGAGAAGTAGGCAAAGTCCAGTCGAACCCTACATCATATCACTTCGGGGGAACGACCAGAAGATCGATGACAAACTTGGTCAACTGCACAATGAAAATGTGAAAATTGCGATAAAACATCACCAGACATGATGATTTACCATTTCAGTTACACTTCCTGTTCTGCTAGGCATTGTATTCCCTGCAGAGATAAAGATTACCGTGTGTATTTGTCTCGTAAACTGAGCCAGAAACAGCTATCAGTTGTACACTCATTTTCTGCCGGATCTGCCAGTGATTTGATTAAAAAATACCAATAATATAACTATTATATACAATATAAGGTATTTTGATGGAATGATCAGAAGAAATTGTTTCTGAAACTACTATTTTTCCATCAATGGAAAATTCCAATACTGGGTTACTTTAGTAACAGCTTTACAAATTAATAACTTTTATTATAAAAAATAACCATAAATGTAGCACTTTGCTAATTCGATCGCAAAAGAATATGATGACATGTAATTGTCAAACTATAACAAATATGACTTTTAATGCGTCAAAATATGGCATTTTTGATATATGCTATATATGAGTGTTACAGATATACATACCAAAAAATACTAAAAATGAAGGTCATTTCTACTTGGTGAAAAGATGGAAAATTGTGCAGAAACACACGTACCAACATGACATGCACATGCAACAGCACTTGTTAGGCTAAAATAATGTTGGGTTTTCATTTGAATGCCATCACAATCTTACAGCAAGTGAACAGCTAACACATGCCATGACTTGCAGAAGCTCAACGCAACAAAGCCATTTGCTGACTGTTTTTCAATGGGTTTTTTTTCTAAAATTTGCGAAAAATCAGAAAGAAGCTATAAAAATATTTTTTAGCATGGCTGCATGCACAAAATAATGGTCAAATGTTAAAATCTACTTTAAGTTAATTGTAACGATGATTAACCAAGATCCATGTACTGTAAGATGTGGCCTTATGAAGAGTGATCGGCAAAAGGTTTAAGTTATGAGGTAATAATTTTACTTTCTGATGGACGTCCTTTACAAAATACCCTTTACAATGAACACAATTATGATGCCAATACAAAAAAAAATAATAAATCTTCTGATTGGCTCCAGTAAGATTGCTTCATATTTAACAGAGTAATTTGTACTGGAAAATGGATAAATAGTGAATTTCTCACAGGCCGCCATTTTGTTTTTGTACGATGGAACATTGGGATGTGGTACGATGTTTCTGTTCATTACTTCGCATGAATGTCAACTTATACATATAGTTACTTATATGTCATAAAAGTCCTTTAACAAATCCTGCTATCAATCCTGCTGTTAATTAATGTCTTGTGTGTTTGCAGATACACAAAACACATTTCAAATCTATACCATAGATCATACATGTTTCTGCCAAGTACACAAAAGATGAAACTTAATCTTGTCCCTTTCAATTAATTAATCCATTCTTAATTAAATCTAATACTCACAACATAAATTGCCTTCACAATGGCCATGATGTTGGTGCCAAGGGGAAGTTGTGTCTGGAGATGCCCTAGAATCTGATCCTCTCTCTGCTGTCGGTGTTGAATGTAGCCCCTGACGGTGTCGCATGGGTCAGTGATGACGTAGCCGTGCCCGGGGTAGATGACGCTCGGTGCAAGATTTAGGATGTCATGCAGAGACTGCATGTACTGACTCAGATCCGAGATTGTCTGAAGTATACAATGTCATACTCATCTGTTATAAGGCACAGTATTTCTGTGGCAATGTTTTATTGTCTACACTTCTATTGGATTCTTCAGGTTTGGAAGACAGGTCACTTTGGACCCACAGATCACCTCATCCAGGTTAAGCTATGAATCCAGGGACATAAACATGTAGTCCAAACCAATAACCACCAAAAAATAAGTTACACTCAGGGCGCAAAAAAACCAGCATGTAGTTTGCACTCCAGGCCCAGGGACCCAACATGTAGTTTACTCTTCAGGCCCAGGGGCCCAACATGTAGATTGCACTCCCGGCCCAGGGACCCAACATGTGGTTTACACTTAAGGCCCAGGGACCCAACATGTAGTTTACACTCCAGGCCCAGCGAGACAACATGTAGTTTACACTCCCGGCCCAGGGACCCAACATGTAGATTGCACTCCAGGCCCAGGGGCCCAACATGTAGATTGCACTCCAGGCCCAGGGACCCAACATGTAGATTACACTTCAGGCCCAGGGACCCAACATGTAGATTACACTTCAGGCCCAGGGACCCAACATGTAGATTGCACTCCAGGCCCAGGGACCCAACATGTAGATTACACTCCAGGCCCAGGGACCGAACATGTAGATTGCACTCCAGGCCCAGGGACCCAACATGTAGTTTGCACTCCAGGCCCAGGGACCCAACATGTAGATTACACTTCAGGCCCAGGGACCCAACATGTATATTGCACTCCAGGCCCAGGGACCCAACATGTAGATTACACTTCAGGCCCAGGGACCCAACATGTATATTGCACTCCAGGCCCAGGGACCCAACATGTAGTTTACACTCCCGGCCCAGGGACCCAACATGTAGATTGCACTCCAGGCCCAGGGACCCAACATGTAGTTTGCACTCCAGGCCCATGGACCCAACATGTAGTTTACACTTCAGGCCCAGGGACCCAACATGTAGTTTGCACTCCAGGCCTAGGAACCCAACATGTAGATTGCACTCCAGGCCCATGGACCCAACATGTAGTTTGCACTCCAGGCCCAGGGGCCCAACATGTAGTTTGCACTCCAGGCCCAGGGACCCAACATGTAGATTGCACTCCAGGCCCATGGACCCAACATGTAGATTGCACTCCAGGCCCAGGGACCCAACATGTATATTGCACTCCAGGCCCAGGGACCCAACATGTAGATTGCACTCCAGGCCCATGGACCCAACATGTAGATTGCACTCCAGGCCCAGGGGCCCAACATGTAGTTTGCACTCCAGGCCCAAGGACCCAACATGTAGTTTGCACTCCAGGCCCATGGACCAAACATGTAGTTTGCACTCCAGGCCCAAGGACCCAACATTTAGTCTGCACTCCAGGCCCAGGGGCCCAACATGTAGTTTGCACTCCAGGCCTAGGAACCCAAAATGTAGATTGCACTCCAGGCCCAGGGGCCCAACATGTAGTTTGCACTCCAGGCCCAGGGACCCAACATGTAGATTGCACTCCAGGCCTAGGAACCCAACATGTAGATTGCACTCCAGGCCCAAGGACCCAACATTTAGTTTGCACTCCAGGCTCAGGGGCCCAACATGTAGTTTGCACTCCAGGCCCATGGACCCAACATGTAGTTTGCACTCCAGGCCCAAGGACCCAACATGCACTTTGCACTCCAGGCCCATGGACCAAACATGTAGTTTGCACTCCAGGCCCATGGACCCAACAAGTAGTTTACACTCCAGGCCCTGGATGTCAACATCTAGCTTGCATGTTGGACCTAGGGATGTCAATAACTAGCTTGCATGTTGGACCAAGAGATGTCAACATCTAGCTTGCATGTTGGACCTAGAGATGTCAACATCTAGCTTGCATGTTGGACCTAGGGATGTCAACATCAAGCTTGCATGTTGGACCTAAAGATGCCAACATCCAGCTTGCATGTTAGACCTAGAGATGTCAACATCTAGCTTGCATGTTGGACCTAGAGATGTCAACATCAAGCTTGCATGTTGGACCTAGGGATGTCAACATCAAGCTTGCATGTTGGACCTAGAGATGCCAACATCCAGCTTGCATGTTGGACCTAGAGATGTCAACATCTAGCTTGCATGTTGGACCTAGGGATGTCAACATCAAGCTTGCATGTTGGACCTAGAGATGCCAACATCCAGCTTGCATGTTGGACCTAGAGATGTCAACATCCAGCTTGCATGTTGGACCTAGAGATGTCAACATCTAGCTTGCATGTTGGACCTAGGGATGTCAATAACTAGCTTGCATGTTGGACCAAGAGATGTCAACATCTAGCTTGCATGTTGGACCAAGAGATGTCAACATCTAGCTTGCATGTTGGACCTAGGGATGTCAACATCAAGCTTGCATGTTGGACCAAGAGATGTCAACATCTAGCTTGCATGTTGGACCTAGGGATGTCAACATCTAGCCTGCATATTTGACCTAGGGATGTCAACATCTAGCCTGCATGTTGGACCTAGGGATGTCAACATCTAGCCTGCATGTTGGACCTAGGGATGTCAATAACTAGCTTGCATGTTGGACCAAGAGATGTCAACATCTAGCTTGCATGTTGGACCTAGGGATGTCAACATCAAGCTTGCATGTTGGACCTAGAGATGCCAACATCCAGCTTGCATGTTAGACCTAGAGATGTCAACATCTAGCTTGCATGTTGGATCTAGAGATGTCAACATCAAGCTTGCATGTTGGACCTAGGGATGTCAACATCAAGCTTGCATGTTGGACCTAGAGGTGCCAATATCCAGCTTGCATGTTGGACCTAGAGATGTCTACATCTAGCTTACATGTTGGACCTAGGGATGTCAACATCAAGCTTGCATGTTGGACCTAGAGATGCCAACATCCAGCTTGCATGTTGGACCTAGAGATGTCAACATCAAGCTTGCATGTTGGACCTAGGGATGTCAATAACTAGCTTGCATGTTGGACCAAGAGATGTCAACATCTAGCTTGCATGTTGGACCAAGAGATGTCAACATCTAGCTTGCATGTTGGACCAAGAGATGTCAACATCTAGCTTGCATGTTGGACCTAGGGATGTCAACATCAAGCTTGCATGTTGGACCAAGAGATGTCAACATCTAGCTTGCATGTTGGACCTAGGGATGTCAACATCTAGCCTGCATATTTGACCTAGGGATGTCAACATCTAGCCTGCATGTTGGACCTAGGGATGTCAACATCTAGCCTGCATGTTGGACCTAGGGATGTCAATAACTAGCTTGCATGTTGGACCAAGAGATGTCAACATCTAACTTGCATGTTGGACCTAGAGATGTCAATAACTAGCTTGCATGTTGGACCAAGAGATGTCAGCATCTAGCTTGCATGTTGGACCAAGAGATGTCAACATCTAGCTTGCATGTTGGACCAAGAGATGTCAACATCTAGCTTGCATGTTGGACCTAGGGATGTCAACATCAAGCTTGCATGTTGGACCAAGAGATGTCAACATCTAGCTTGCATGTTGGACCTAGGGATGTCAACATCTAGCCTGCATATTTGACCTAGGGATGTCAACATCTAGCCTGCATGTTGGACCTAGGGATGTCAACATCTAGCCTGCATGTTGGACCTAGGGATGTCAACATCTAGCCTGCATGTTGGACCTAGGGATGTCAATAACTAGCTTGCATGTTGGACCAAGAGATGTCAACATCTAGCTTGCATGTTGGACCAAGAGATGTCAACATCTAGCTTGCATGTTGGACCTAGGGATGTCAACATCAAGCTTGCATGTTGGACCAAGAGATGTCAACATCTAGCTTGCATGTTGGACCTGGGGATGTCAACATCTAGCCTGCATATTTGACCTAGAGATGTCAACATCTAGCCTGCATGTTGGACCTAGAGATGTCAACATCTAGCCTGCATGTTGGACCTAGGGATGTCAATAACTAGCTTGCATGTTGGACCTAGAGATGTCAACATCTAACTTGCATGATGGACCTAGGGATGTCAACATCTAGCCTGCATGTTGGACCTAGGGATGTCAATAACTAGCTTGCACGTTGGACCAAGAGATGTCAACATCTAACTTGCATGTTGGACCTAGGGATGTCAATAACTTGCTTGCATGTTGGACCTAGGGATGTCAACATCTAGCCTGCATGTTGGACCTAGGGATGACAATTACTAGCTTGCATGTTGGACCAAGAGATGTCAACATCTAGCTTGCATGTTGGACCTAGGGATGTCAATAACTAGCTTGCATGTGGGACCAAGAGATGTCAACATCTAGCTTGCATGTTGGACCAAGAGATGTCAACATCTAGCTTGCATGTTGGACCTAGGGATGTCAACATCAAGCTTGCATGTTGGACCTAGGGATGTCAACATCAAGCTTGCATGTTGGACCTAGATATGTCAACATCAAGCTTGCATGTTGGACCTAGGGATGTCAACATCAAGCTTGCATGTTGGACCTAGAGATGTCAACATCAAGCTTGCATGTTGGACCTAGAGATGTCAATAACTAGTTTGCATGTTGGACCTAGAGATGTCTATAACTAGCTTGCATTCTGGACATAGGGATGTCAATAACTAGCTTGCATGTTGGACCTAGGGATGTCAACATCAAGCTTGCATTTCGGACCTAGGTATGTCAATAACTAGCTTGCATGTTGGACCTAGGTATGTCAATAACTAACTTGCATTCTGGACCTAGGGAAACCAACATCTAGCTTGCATGTTGGACCAAGGGAAGCCAACATCTAATTTGCATGTTTGACTTTGCATGCCAACATCTAATTAATGCTATGGACAAAGGGATTTCAACATCTAGCTGGCACTACAGACCCCGGGACTACAACCTCTAGCTTGCATACTGAACTGAGGGATCAAAGTGTTTGTTCTGGTTTGTTTGTTGTTTAACATCACACTCAGCAATATCCCAGATGTATGATGACAGTCTGTAAATAGTCAAAACTGGATCAGACAGTTCAGTGACTGACATCACCAGCATCAGTCTACGCAATTAGGATACGATGACATGTATCAACCAAATCAGCGAGTCCGACCGATCCTATTAGTCGCCTCTTATGACACAAATGAGTTGCTGAGGACCAATTCGAACCTGGATCTTCAAAGGTCCGGGCTGTGGTATTTCAAAATATATGTTGCATACTGGAAGTCAACATCAAAGTTACAGTACAGACCTGGGACCTCAACATCTATCTGTCTACTGTATGCAGCGTGTGAAATGTCACTGTCAGGCTAGCTTAACCATGTTAACGTGCACGTTGACATCCTGTCTCGTAATAATTTAAATTTCTATATTCAAAAAGTGCAGCTATTCACTGACAGGGAAAAGAACTAATAGTCAATTGGTTGCCATGTTTAATTTCATCATATTCAACATTGACTTCAGGACATGTCCACAGCCTTACCGTTGTTGTTCCTCCAAGAATGCTGTCCCCGGAGAACACAGCGTTCTCTTCTTCTAGCAGAAGGATCATATGATCATCTGAGTGCCCTGGATTGTACACAGCCCTGAAACACAACAACTAAGACATCTAAATGCCTGAATGCTACTCCTCTTTGAAATTCAGCAAGACAACATTGGCATCTGAATGACCTGAATGGGATACTGCCCTGAAACAGGGAGACAACCGACATCTGAATCTTCTTCACTCTGAAACACAGCCAGAGAACCACATCTGAATGACCTGAATGGGATACGGCCCTGAAACAGGGAGACAACTGACATCTGAATCTACTTCACTCTGAAACACAGCCAGAAACCCACATCTGAATGACCTGAATGGGATGCTGCCCTGAAACAGGGGGACAACTGACATCTGAATCTTCTTCACTCTGAAACACAGCCAGAGACCCACATCTGAATGACCCCGAGATCATCCTAAAACAGACTGACAACCATGACTTACGAATGGCCTGGACAGCTCATCACCCTCCAGCCATACCACCACACTGAGGTTTTCATCTGTACCCTTACTAGAGTATTCTTATACTTAAACCTGTGAAGATACAGGTTAGAAAAGGTCTTCAGCATCCCATGCTTGCAGTAAAAGGCGAGTATGCTTGTCGTAAGAGGCGACTAACGGGATCGGGTGCTCAGGCTCGGTGACTTGGTTGATGCATGTCATTGTATCCCAATTGCGTAGATCAATGCTCAGGATGTCAATCACTGGATTGTCTGGTCCAGACACAATTATTTACAGACCACCGTCATATAGCTGGAATATGGCTGAGTGCGGCGTTAAACAAAAGCAAAACACACAAAAAATCTTATACTTAATCAGAGCAAACCTGTTATGTGGCATACCTTATCCAGTACATCAATATCTGAACTATCTTGGCAATGTAATACCAATGGCCAATATTGATGGGAAGACCAAGTGTTGTCTTATTTTACATAATTGTCCTTGTTTCCATGTGTCGAGTCGACTGGCTACTAAAGTTCATCATAAGTTCAATCTAAACCTAGTTACTTATCAACATAGAACGTGTTCCTTTTTGTCACTTCTACTGCTACTGTTAGTAACATTTCCGTTTTGTCCCAGTTAAGTACAGGAAGTACACCTTTGGTAGACACCATGTATCCATTTACAGCCCGAATAAAGGCAACAAAACCCTTTCCACATTCATAAGAAATCTCATCTGAAAGCAGAATCGATTGTACGATTCCGACAAAACCTAATTTGTATCCGTGAAACATAATCATGATAATCACGAGCATACATTAAACAGCTAAAATTAGATTCTAGGAAAGGACACAAAATTGGATTCAAGATGCAGTGTTTAGATGCAGTTGTTTACCTCAGTGTTGCTCCATCTGTTTTGAAGACATGCTTGTCAGTGATAAAGTTGTAAGGGATGTGCCCAAGGTCAACATCCGGACCGGACACTCGCTTTATCTTAGACACCCTTGGAATCTCAGCAGCTGTGGATATAGTGAATCCACTTCAATCAAACATTCGTGTATAACATCTAGGTTTCATCAGGGTGGGCGTGGTATGACAACCAACTCAGGTTAACCACCAATACAATGTATGTAAAACATCAACGCAGGCATGAAAACCAACAATGCAGGTATGCTAACCACCCACACAGGTATGTTAATCACCAACATAGGTATGTTAACTGCCAACATATGTATGTTAACTACCCACACAGGAATGTTAACCACCGACAAAGGTACGTTAACTACCCACACAGGTATATTTACCACCAACACAGGTATGTTAACCACCTACACAGGTATGTTAACCACCCACACAGGTATGTTAACCACCTACACAGGTATCTTAACCACCTACACAGGTATGTTAACCACCAACATAGGTATGTTAACCACCTACACAGGTATGTTAACCACCTACACAGGTATGTTAACCACCTACACAGGTATGTTAACCACCTACACAGGTATGTTAACCACCAACATAGATTTGTTAACCACCTACACAGGTATGTTAACCACCTACACAGGTATGTTAACCACCAACATAGGTATGTTAACCACCTACACAGGTATGTTAACCACCTACACAGGTATATAAACCACCTACACAGGTATGTTAACCACCAACACAGGTATTTTAACCACCAACACAGGTATATAAACCACCTACACAGGTATGTTAACTACCCACACAGGTATATTAACCACCAACACAGGTATGTTAACCACCTACACAGGTATGTTAACCACCAACATAGGTATGTTAACCACCTACACAGGTATGTTAACCACCAACACAGGTATATAAACCACCTACACAGGTATGTTAACCACCTACACAGGTATGTTAACCACCAACACAGGTATGTTAACCACCACCACAGGTATAGTAACCACCAACACAGGTATGTTAACCACCAACACAGGTATAGTAACCACCTACACAGGCATGTTAACCACCTACAAAGGTACGTTAACCACCAACACAGGTATTTTAACCACCTACATAGGTATGTTAACCACCAACACAGGTATGTTAACCACAAACATAGCTACGTTAACCACAAACATAGGTATGTTAACCACCTACACAGGTATGTTAACCACAAACATAGGTATCTTAACCACCTACACAGGTATGTTAACCACCTACACAGGTATGTTAACCACCTACACAGGTATGTTAACCACCTACACAGGTATGTTAACCACCAACATAGGTATGTTTACCACCTACAGAGGTATGTTAACCACCAACACAGGTATGTTAACCACCTACACAGGTATGTTAACCACCTACACAGGCAGGTTAACCACCTACACAGGTATGTTAACCACCAACACAGGTATTTTAACCACCTACATAGGTATGTTAACCACCAACACAGGTATGTTAACCACAAACATAGCTACGTTAACCACAAACATAGGTATGTTAACCACCTACACAGGTATGTTAACCACCTACACAGGTATGTTAACCACCAACATAGGTATGTTAACCACCTACACAGGTATGTTACTGTGGCACCTCAGGCTGGGGCCTGGATGATGCACCAAGTCATGATAAGATCTGTATCATCATAGTAAGGTAATGATACAATATGTACCATGATAGTAAACTCCCTATATGATATGTATCATCATAGTAAGGTAATGATACAATATGTATCATGATAGTAAACTCACTATAAGATATGTATCATCATAGTAAGGTAGTGATACAATATGTATCATGATAGTAAACTCCCTATATGATATGTATCATCATAGTAAGGTAATGATACAATATGTATCATGATAGTAAACTCACTATATGATATGTATCATCATAGTAAGGTAATGATACAATATGTATCATGATAGTAAACTCCCTATATGATATGTATCATCATAGTAAGGTAATGATACAATATGTATCATGATTGTAAACTCCCTATATGATATGTATCATCATAGTAAGGTAATGATACAATATGTATCATGATTGTAAACTCCCTATATGATATGTATCATCATAGTAAGGTAGTGATACAATATGTATCATGATAGTAAACTCCCTATATGATATGTATCATCATAGTAAGGTAATGATACAATATGTATCATGATAGTAAACTCACTATATGATATGTATCATCATAGTAAGGTAATGATACAATATGTATCATGATTGTAAACTCCCTATATGATATGTATCATCATAGTAAGGTAATGATACAATATGTATCATGATAGCAAACTCACTATATGATATGTATCATCATAGTAAGGTAGTGATACAATATGTATCATGATAGTAAACTCCCTATATGATATGTATCATCATAGTAAGGTAATGATACAATATGTATCATGATAGTAAACTCCCTATATGATATGTATCATCATAGTAAGGTAGTGATACAATATGTATCATGATAGTAAACTCCCTATATGATATGTATCATCATAGTAAGGTAATGATACAATATGTATCATGATAGTAAACTCACTATATGATATGTATCATCATAGTAAGGTAATGATACAATATGTATCATGATAGTAAACTCCCTATATATGTATCATCATAGTAAGGTAGTGATACAATATGTATCATGATAGTAAACTCCCTATATGATATGTATCATCATAGTAAGGTAATGATACAATCTGTATCATGATAGTAAACTCCCTATATGATATATATCATCATAGTAAGGTAATGATACAATATGTATCATGATACTAAACTCACTATATGATATGTATCATCATAGTAAGGTAATGATACAATATGTATCATGATAGTAAACTCCCTATATGATATGTATCATCATAGTAAGATAATGATACAATATGTATCATGATAGTAAACTCCCTATATGATATGTATCATCATAGTAAGGTAGTGATACAATATGTATCATGATAGTAAACTCCCTATATGATATGTATCATCATAGTAAGGTAGTGATACAATATGTATCATGATAGTAAACTCCCTATATGATATGTATCATCATTGTAAGGTAGTGATACAATATGTATCATGATAGTAAACTCCCTATATGATATGTATCATCATTGTAAGGTAGTGATACAATATGTATCATGATAGTAAACTCCCTATATGATGTGTATCATCATAGTAAGGTAGTGATACAATATGTATCATGATAGTAAACTCCCTATATGATATGTATCATCATAGTAAGGTAATGATACAATATGTATCATGATAGTAAACTCCCTATGTGATATGTATCATCATAGTAAGGTAGTGATACAATATGTGTCATGATTGTAAACTCCCTATATGATATGTATCATCATAGTAAGGTAATGATACAATATGTATCATCATAGTAAACTCCCTATATGATATGTATCATCATAGGAAGGTAATGATACAATATGTATCATGATAGTAAACTCACTATATGATATGTATCATCATAGTAAGGTAATGATACAATATGTATCATGATAGTAAACTCCCTATATGATATGTATCATCATAGTAAGATAGTGATACAATATGTATCATGATAGTAAACTCACTATATGATATGTATCATCATAGTAAGGTAATGATACAATATGTATCATGATAGTAAACTCACTATATGATATGTATCATCATAGTAAGGTAATGATACAATATGTATCATGATTGTAAACTCCCTATATGATATGTATCATCATAGTAAGGTAATGATACAATATGTATCATGATAGTAAACTCACTATATGATATGTATCATCATAGTAAGGTAATGATACAATATGTATCATGATAGTAAACTCACTATATGATATGTATCATCATAGTAAGGTAATGATACAATATGTATCATGATAGTAAACTCACTATATGATATGTATCATCATAGTAAGGTCCCCATAACGTTTGTATCGTGATCATGGTGATGTAGAGATTACGACGCGAGTGACTGTAAGATATCTTTTATCTTACGAGTTGTTTCAACAAGTGAAAGCAAGCATACACTTAAGGTCACCTAATACACCTTAGGTCATCACCATGGAGTAGCCAATCACGGCCCTGGAATTCAATCTCACACATCTGATACCAGTTATCTCAAATGGGTTTCTCACCCCCATGTAAGAAAAAGAAAGAATTTAACAAGCTGACAATCACAGGTTATTTTTAGAAAGTTCAATCTCAAAAAATGTATTTTTTGTGCAGAGAAGTATAAAAACATGAAAACAAATGGCCAAACATAAAAAAAAAACGCCACCAACATACTAGTCGCATACTAGTAAGTTTGTGATGTATCATTACGTATTGATATATCAACCTATGATAAGACAGTATTAATGAAAATGCCTTTACCATAATGCATTGATGTATCAGTGAATTGTCCACCAAACCTTACACCACTGACCAACTCGTTTCCCCCAACTGTACTGAGAAAACAGCAGTTGAGACTGACAGAGAACCCAACTGATTTTACAACTGCTTCAATGTCTTGACAATACTGCATAAACACAGTAGTTAACTTTTCACCTTAATGTAACCTTATTCAACCTTTCATCATGGTTGTTATCCAAGACACTGACAACACAAGGAAGTACACACAAGCTCAGTTGTAGAAAGTAAATAGATACAGGGATTTACTGTACTACCAAACTAAGTTCCCCTGGCAGGCAAATTGGGACAAAAATCATCATTTTGCTCCATATATTGGGTGAGGTGAGGTGAAATAGGGTTTAACGTCGCGTCCAAAGTTATTGCACTTATATAGCCACGTGCATGTACGTGTGTGTGTTTGTGTGGCTGCTTGTACTAGTCCGGACTGATGCCGATTTAAAGTGCTAGCACACTGAGATACCATGCCGCAGTTTAACATGAATATCCCACTCAAACACAGTATACTGACTCCGAGCCGACCAGTCCTTGTTTTAGCCCCTCAATGCCGAGCGCCAGACAGGGTAACAACAAGTACCATCTTTTAACGTCTTTTAGTATGACGCGGCCGGGGATCGAACCCCGGACCTTCCGCTCTCCGGGTGGACGCTCTACCACTAGACCACGGAGCCGGTCTTCCATATATTGGGATTTATTATAGTTCTTATTTGCCTATCCTCAGAGGTATTTTACCAATGTATTCTCAGCATTGTATTCAATTCAATAATTTATATTAAGCTTCAAAGCCTCTTCTTCCTTATAATGTTATTGGCATGTAATCAGTGAAATAAAAGTCTCCACTTCAAGACCATAATAGTTAGAACTGTTTTAATATAAATTGGAACATTTTTAAATTCCCAATAGGAAATGTTTTCTGACATTTGCTGCAGACCTGGGGTCGAATATCGGCCTCTGGGCACGCCTAGATACATCAACATATCTGTAAAACAGGATACACGAGAGGTACCTCCAGGGTATTACCGGATGCAAAATATTGCATCCTGGATGTATACAAATTAAGAATTGATGCAAATAATATTAACTGCAAGTCCCTTTTGATACAGAAGAGTTGGGTTTGCTTCTATGGTCTAGTGGTAGAGCGTCCGCCCAGAGAGCAGAAAGTCTGGGGTTCGACGCCCAGCTGTGTCATACATAAAGGCGTTAAAAGATGGTACTTATTGTTACCCTGTCTGGCGCCTCGGTAATAAGAGGCCAAAACAAGGACTGGTTGACTTTGAGTCAGTATACTCTGTCTGAGTTGGGGATTTATGTTAAACTGCCACATGGTATCTCAGTGGGCTAGCACTAAAAATTGGCATCAGTCTGGACTAGTACAAGCAGACACAGACACAAAGACACTCAAACACACACACATGCATGCACGTCGCTATATAAGTACAATAATCTTGGACACGACGTTAAACCCCCTTTCACCTCACTGCAAAAGTGTTGGATGTTGGAATGATTGAAATCAATTCAGTGTGAAGGTTAGATTTATGGGATATTTCTGTTCTCATTAGAAATACAACAAAATCTTACATCCAAACATTGGACAGTCCCTGTAAGATTTTCTTCACTCGTATTTGTGTCCATTCAAACAAGGAAATCACCATCAATTATAAGCATAAGTTATCGCAGATACTCTGTAATATACTTGTTATTGGTACAGTGGTCACCCTGGGATCCACATTTTAATACCAAGGACCCCCAAATCTGGTACCGTGAGTCCTCATGACTTGCAAATACTCCAAGACTTACACTGAATGACACTCTTGCAAATGTCCTTGACCCCACCCACATGGTCTGGGTGAAAGTGGGTGACCACAATCTCCTGTATGGATGCTGCATAATCCGCTAGAGTTGACTTAAGGAGATTGATGTACTCAGGTACATCAGCATCTCCTGTATCAATCAAGATTTTTCTGCAATTGATTACAATACATGTCAAATAATGAGTGAGTGAGTGAGTGAGTGAGTATGGTTTTACGCCGCTTTTAGCAATATTCCAGCAATATTACGGCGGGGGACACCAGAAATGGGCTTCACAGATTGTACCCATGTCGGGAATCGAACCCGGGTCTTCGGCGTGACGAGTGAACGCTTTAACCACTAGGCTACCCGACTGCCCCTGTCAAATAATGCACTGACATATAATCATATCATAATGTTGCACATGTCAAGCATAATTAAATAGTCATGCTCCTATTTTTTGTATAATGGTAAATGAAGGGTAAGTTGTGTTAGGGTCAGGAAACGTTGCCCTCCTCAACCCTATCCTTAGCCCTTGGATCCTTGAATGAAAATTGTGGTGAACATATTCTATATCGGATCAAAAAATGTTTTATGACCCTAGTATCCTCCGAGGATGGAGAGGTGTAGGACATGCATTCTTATCTGTGTTTACAGCTACAAATTTCTATGGCTAGAGCCATCCAAACAGTGGAGTCGGATCATCGAACATGGCTGAAGGGATCACTGTCAGCAGAGGTACTACAGGTAAGTTCCCCCAGGGTATTTCCTGTTTGTTTTTTTCGTTGTTTAACGCCGCACTCAGCAATATTCCAGCTCTATGAAGGCGGTCTGTAAATAATTGAGTCTGGACCAGACAGTCCAGGGATTGATATCATGAGCAAGTGAGATAGGATGACATGCATTAACCCAGTCAGCGAGCCTGACAACCCAATCTCGTAAGTCACCTCTTACAAGCATGGGTTGCTGAAGACCTATTCTAACCCGGATCTTCACAGGTAGTACCTGTGGTACATTTCAGTATGCAGATATGTACCTTAGCCAAATTCAGAATACAGAGCAGTGCCCGGTACCCTCAACCTGAAACTGAAACTGGTTCACGTTGTCGTTCCAGTTCGCCTGATTACGACTGCATGCTGGATAATGCTGTGCATCGAGGAATATAAGAGTACTGTATGGATGCTTATCTTTCATACTGCACGCTGGAATGCATCACATACAACAGTATGACAGTTCCGATCCAGAAACTGAAGAAAATCTTCCACTGTGGACTGGATTCATCCTAGGGTACTGTTCTGTATTCTGATTTTGGCTAGGGTACATTTCTGCATACAGAACCGTACCCCTACCCAACACTCTATTACCCGGCCTTACCCGGGCACCTGCTTTAGGTCTCAGAGTTGGGAACAATATGGGAATTGTTTTACCACAGAAAACTAACTAGATACATGTATAAAGTGATGTGATCCTGCATACAACGAAGTTGATAGACGCTTTTTCCTTACTAGAACACATAAAAGTCGAATGCTTGCATAGTCAAAAGGAATTGTGAACACTAGCTATACTTGCAGTGTAATCATGGAGTTTTATTGTTTATGTCTATAAACAGTATAAGGTGACTGACCACGGGTCTGGGTAGTTCTGTGGGTACCTGGGTCCTAATTACGACCCACCCGACCTGAGTAACCCGTCCCAGCCCTTCTGAGGTACATATCTGTAGTACCCATGCCATCAATGGGTTAAAGCTACAATGGCACCTCAGCAAAATGTCACCGAGCGAAAACGGCATCTCGCCTCAAGTGAAAACAGCTACCATTGCCTGGCGAAAACGGCACCTTTTTTTCCCCCTTGGTACTGAAATAATCTAAATTAAACTCACATGGTCACTTGCAAACACAAATAATTGTGAAATGTTAATCACCTTAAGACAAGTTTGAATTTGAATTAGCCTCTACTCCAATTTACTCGCTGACTCTGATTGGGAGACACAACTAAACTTATTGTGAAAACATCATATGCTTTGAAGTTTTAAGTAGCTTTACTCAAATTAACTCATGGTCAAGCTGAAACAGTATTTAAGATGCATAACAGGGTGCTGTCAGATCACAATTATTCACAATGGCCTTTTGATGTGTTGCATGCGAGAAGAATGTCAGAAAAAAATCAACATGCTGTATCATGTGACAACTGTGACCAGTGGACCCATCCTTATGTGGTACCGGACTTTCTGTAACCTGTTATGGAGAAATTAGCCGGACTGAAGAAGACTTCTTTTCCCACTTTTTAAGATGCATAGATGCCAATATAGAAGAGGTGATTGGTAACATGAACTTTAATATCAGTTTACAATCCGGCATCGTTTATACATGATATTTGTGGAATGATAAAAGACAATAATAAATAAAGAATAACTGTGGAAAATTATGTATATACTACAACACAAATGGTTCTTATTGTTATTAAAAACAGAGGTGCCGTTTTCGCCCGACAATTAGTAGCCGTTTTCACCAGAGAAATCGCTGACGTTTTGCTGAGTTGCCGTTTTAGCCAGCACCCCCGACAACGACCCCTCCAGCTCGAACGTGCGATATTATGCAATAGCCTAACTAGGCCTATTTAACACTGATGTCATTGGAGAGATTCTCATGACTGACTTGGGACCAGTCCCCACGAGATATGTGTTAGTTCCCTGTAGGCGTCGTCCCCCTGGATTACATCCCAGAATGCGAATAACACGCTGAGAGAGTTGTTCCAACTTTGGCAAAACAGTCGCCATTTTGTTTACATCACATGACCTTTAGACTGTCATCATTGACTGGGCTCCTGTCTAAAAGCACTGACAGTGCTGTGGAACCAGTTTTACTTTTATAACAGTAATACATAGAATATTTCCGGTTTAAATTGTTTTTAAAACATGATGTTTAGTTTCATTTCATTCAGTGTTAGAATTATCATAATTACCATCAATGTACCTTGCGAAAGGAAATAGCGGACTTTACCGAGCGCACATGTTATTTCCGGACAGAAACGGAAGTGCCATACTTTTGTTCAAGATGTCTTGCCGATCGTGATAAGATTGACCAAGTAATCAAGATTGTGATATGACATATCGAAAATGTCGAATCAAAGGTAACTTAACTTTACACCAGAGTAATGAACTATGTGATGTATATTTGGACGGGTAGTTTAAAATAGCTCAGTGAACTAGACGAGGATCTTGTTTTCGTCCTCCTCTGTCAACTTCGAAACTACAAAATATTCCAACATTTTTAGTTTTCATCTTTCATTTCACGTTTTATATTGACATGTTATTCATTTATATAATTGATAACATGTCTAAATATTCAGTTGATTAGGAAACTTACTCGGACTTTGAATGTTTGATAAAGCTTGATCGAGCTTGGAAAAACTGGTCAGCTGACAATTTGCAATTTACATCACAGGGCCAGAACCTTTAATTTCATTAGCTAGGCCTACTAAATTATCTTCAGATAGATTGTTCAATTTATCCTATAACTGTTTTCTTATTGTAAGATATTCAAACACCACAGTATCACTATACTGTATCCCCACATTCGGTTATAGATGATAATCAGCTCTAACACTAAGGAATTTGAAGGCTCATTGATTATGAACTTGGCTCCTTGTAAATTTATGTTGGTATCCTCGAGTTATCAGTTTTCATGCACATCACTTTTGGCTCGCAGTCCGATCTCCAGGTATTGTATGTATACACATGAAGTGATGACAACACATGTTCTGTTTTTGGAGCGACTGTCCCGCGGCCCCAGTAATGATAAAATGTAAAGACAAATCGAAATATTTGAATGGTTACTGCATGCACTATTGACATCTGCTGTTTTAACTTTTCCAAATTGCAAAAGAACTTCTACATCTCAGACTGTCTGCAAATACTTAAAAATAAACACAATTGTGCTTTATCATTGTTTATTATTATTCCCATCTCTGCCTCAACCACTTACCTCCAAATATGGAGTCTTGCAATATGGAAGCCTGAATCAAAACTGCTTTCTGTCTGCTGTAGGCCAGTAGGCTCAGCTAATAATCATGATGTTAGTCTGTATGTTCAGATGAATAACACTAAACATGCTAAAATCAATCGTAAATGCTCAAAAGCTTTTGACACATAACTTTCAATAAGATTTTCAAATACAATATAACAACAGGCAGCTGCAATGGATGGAAGGCAACTGATGGTATAAAAGACACTGCAACCAGTTTCCAGTTTTTGAAAGTACTTTATGATTTGTACCCAGTCTGAGATGTAGAATGCTCTGTAAATCTTACAGACTTAAAATGGACTTAAAATTCATTATAGGTTACAACAGTATTTTTCATATTGCCCACACCTTACATTCTAAGAACCGACAGATCAGAACATGGTGTTATGAGACTGTAGGCAAAATGTGATAGAGGTGTAGCCACTTTGAGAGGACACCTAGCAATACTAACAATTAACATCCCAAAAAAGGTACGGTAGTTCATAGTGCTCATGTATCATGTTTATGATCTTGTGACCATTGTAACTATTATAATCTATCATACCCATGAGAGGCAAAGTGACCCCCACTCCCCTGGCCCTGTATTTCTGGAACCCGTCCCACAGGGAGTTTTGCCATTACCGTATTCGACGTAATAAACGCCAAGGGCACTCTCAAAATTAGAAATAGGGGGCTCTTATTAGAATTACAGCCTGAAATGATACAAAAGAGATGTCTCTGTATATGATATACAACAATTTTTGCCAGGATTTAATTGCCTGTAATTAAGGGTGCATATAGCACACAAATGCGTATTGTACACAAATAAATAATAAATGTCTTGTGTACATTGATCAATCGGAAGGGTGCTAATTGGGATTGTTCACTAGCCAATATATGAGCAAATATCCACGTGGGCACTTATTAGAGCAGGGCGCTTATTACGTCCAATACAGTAAGTATTAAATTCTGCCTGAAGCTTTGTTTTTATTGCCTGAAGTTGTGTATATTATGAATATTGTGTTTGATTGTATGAAATATTATTTTTTTTATGACAATATACATGCAGTGTCCCAAATTAAGAACAAAAGCCAAAGGTCCTTGTCATACCAATATTAACAGTTAAGGACTACATAAATGGACTAAGGAATCCCTACACTGATGTGTATTAACTCGAACAGTACAAAGACCACACCACCACCAACCCCTTAATTTCTGACACTGTCATGCATAAATGACTTGCCTATGTGCAGTTAATCATTGAACAATTGAACAAACCTGTTTCTTTTATCTTTTGTTTTAACATGTCTTTTTCTATTCAGCGAGTTAGTGAAATTAAGTGAAGAAACACTTGCCCGCCAGCCAGATGAAGTGTTTGATCTTATTTGTAAAATTGGAAGGGGGTAAGGACCAAATTTTGGATGTGCTCTCAGGGAATGTGGTCTGCATCATCTTACTCTAGAGTAGAAAGCCCTGCATTGATTGATGAAGGACATCGTGAATATATGGATGCATGTATTCTTGTTTCAGTCACATCTTCGTATTTCAAGATATTTTGGATGTAAGGAATGTATTATTACAGTATTAAACTTCCAAACAGGCTTGTTTAGATATTGGACTATTTTCATTGCCAAATTCAATGGACTGATCAAGATTTGCTAAGTATGTTCACAATGTTCATGACCCCTTGAACTGGGTCTTACTTCAGTAGAGAGTGCACCAGGAATGCTATCTTGCCATGTGATGATCAGGTAACACTCAACTTAATAATCAACTTAAATAATCTGAAAGTTTCTCCAACTAGAAGTGTTTGTTTTATTTTGGCTCTCTACTTGCCCACTATATGCATGATAAACAGTGAATAAAAGCATTTTAAAATGCATGAATTGTTCAAATGATAAAACATGTTCCGAAGTCATTGATGATCATATTTCAAGATACAATCACCTGATGCGCTTCTCTGCTTTTAGTTAGGCTCAGAACAGTCCTGTCAGTAACTTACACCCACAGTCACCATAGAAACGTAAAGAACATCATGACCGCTGTCATGGATATTAAAGGTCATGAGTATGATGAGGAAGTAATTGAATGTCGGTAAAAACCAGAAAACAATTATGATTTTTGTAAATAGTTGATACCAAAATACAGTTTCTATTGCCACTCTTTGGATTCTTTCATGTAAGTTTTGTTGACAGGATTGTTGTGATTGTGACAAGTTCTGGCGCCAGAACTAAGCTGTTGCATGCTGTTCCTCTGCTGTCTGACCTCTCTGTTTAATGTAGTGCACACTTAAACCGATTAAGTGAAGAAAGCCTAACCAGGCCGCCTGAAGAGGTGTTGGACATTTTGGGCAAGCTGGGAGAAGGGTAAGCTTCAAGTCCTGGTGGACTAGAAACATTCTCATAGCAAGTTTGTCAAAACCATAAAAGTCGGGTAATCACCTGGACTTATATATAGTATTAGTATTGGTTAACCAATTCTCCCAAACATGAAATATCAAGATTCAAGATCATATTTTCAGATGTTTTTCAAACACTGACTATTGAGAATGAAATTGTTAGCTATTTCAGCATGTTCAGTTAGCTTAATGTTTTATTTTCAAGTTGTCAATGTTCTGTTTGTGATGAAAGACCATCTAATTTCTTTATTGTAAATGATAACCAAATTGTTCATTCTGTTTATGTGCGAATCTATTTTCATTTTCCTGCTAGTTAAAAAAAATCCATCTTAGGCTTATTAAAATTAAAAAATTGGTTCTGAGGCAATGGCTTTTGAAAATATGGTGCAAGTGAGCAGTGGTTTTTTTTTAGGATTTTTTTAGGGTTATTCAAATAAGTATGTAACCAAATAAACAGTTGTGTACAATCAACCTGGGAAAGGGCCTCCCCACATCATCATGATCATGTACATAAGTGTATTCCGTGATGAGTAAAATACTGGAATACAGTATATAACTATCATTTGACTATCAGTGTGTGCATAATACATGCATACAATGACCTTCGATTTTATTTCACAACATAAAGACGTTATCAGTTGGTTATTGTGAGCCTACAACATGCACACATAATCTGAATCTCAAACATTGTCCGGCATCTAGTACACAAATACCACTGAATTTGTATATCATCATGTGTAGTAATATTTTATGGTACATTTCATGTTTTCATTGACCAAATTTGCGAGGACAACCACATTGTTTATCGTATTGCAGCATTTCACTGCCAGGGTCATGTGTTCGAGAGGCAGAATATTTACCAATTTATATTTCTTTTTAACAATGGAAATAAAAACAAAACATGCGGCAAACTTTATGATGATGGGGGCGGTGCCTGAGAACCATGACTATTATGTTTTTAGCCGTAATTATTCCTGGCACAATGTTTCACCAAGTTATGCAGCAAAAAGGAAGGGCATTGAACTGCATATGGTGTTGTAAATCTTGTGTTTCCCAATACACTGTGCCATAAAAAAGAGGTCTGACAATCATGATCACAAGGTCCTGTTTAGAAACATTTAACATTTCAAGAAAGTTGAAGTATCACACAAATGAATTTGATGGAGGTTAGTCCACATTGGTGTGTTTTTGGTTTCATGGCCTGCTTCACACAAATTTGTACATGTTGAAAGCCGAGACAAAAAAAAAGGATTAAAATTATTGATTGTTATTGTGGGTCTTCATAATTCAGTGATACAATTACTCTGTACTAAATCAAGATCTTGTTTTCTAAATCAACAAGTCACAAAAAAGGTGATCTATCATGACATGGTCTGGGTCAAGTTTGTTGTAGTTTAACCTGAGTAGCATTAAATGACTTTCCTTTCATTTTACCTGTTTGTTTGCTAGTTCGAAATGCCTATATTTACGAACATTTCAGTGCTGCTTGTTTGCTTGCTTTTTTTACCTCACCCCTTTTGTTTCTTTATTTGCAATTTTACTATTTTGTCACATTTTCACATAAGGTAAGTTGTGTATCTTCGATCAATCACTGGATTGTTTGGTCCAGATTTTATTTACATGCTGCCGTCAACCCATGCTTGCAGTGAAAGGCGACTATGCTTGTCGTAAGAGGCAACTAACGGGATCGGGTGGTCAGGCTCGCTGACTTGGTTTATGCATGTCATCGATCTCAATTGCGTGGATCGATGTTCATGATATTAATCACTGGATTGTCTGGTCCAGACTCGATTATTTACAGACCGCCGTCATACCGCTGGAATATTGCTAAGTGCGGCATTAAGCATGTTAAGCAACCAACACACACACTCTTTCCATTGTCTACAAACCATACTGAGGTACCTACTTTGGAATCAGTATTCTAACATACATAGTTATAGTAAAGCATGTTCTGTAATACACTGTTGCCTTCTGTTAATGATCATGATGATTGTCATGCATGTCATCTGACTGCCTGAAATTATCATCATGTGTGTTAGCAGTGCGTTTTATTGTAATTTGTATGCTCTTGATGAATTGATTTCATTCTCACCAGTTTTCAATAAACATCAAATGTAGTCAAAGATACTAAGTTGTAAATTTGATAGCATTCTCAAACATGAACAGTGAACAGTAATTATTACATCATATCATTGCTTATGGCTAATATTATGATCATGATAATAATATTACATCTCAACACCTGATATCTATGATGTTTGTAAAGCAATACCACAATGTTCTTATGTTTATCATGTTTATGTTTATTTTGTATTATCAGACTGATGTTTACATGACACATACCCTGATGCTATTCAGACACGTTTGCCTCCCCCCGTTACAAGTCCCATGACTTGAGTCACCAAGAGGCGTGATGTTGGGGATATCTACGTATCAGCTCTCACGGACATGAATGTCAGTGGGGATACAGGTGGCCCAGTGGTTGAGGGTGCAGCAGTTCACTGCAGAGTTTCGTGCCTTAGTAAAACCCGAATCTGCTGTATAGACGTTTGAATCCCAGATTCCTCCCATATGTGAGCCCTCATTATTGTGGGTTTCACAACAGTGGTAAATGTCAATGACCTGCACAACTTTAGGCTTTCCTCACATATCAGACACACAGTGATATAACTAACACCCTGTTCAAACCGGGTTTAAAATCAATTAGGAGCAATAACATACATTTGTCATGTTCTGGGCATACTGTATAAGCCGTGTCACTCCCCAAGCTTGTCTTTACATGGCACAAGGGATTGTCTGGTCCAGACCCAGTTATTTACAGATCACCATCATAATCTAGAATATTGCTGAGTGAAGTGTTAAACTTCAAGCAAACATGGTGCAAGAGTGTCAGAGTGGGAACTGTCTGAATACTACTATTGTGTTCAGGGATTTATCTAGGATTCTAAACCTTTGGCTGGCAAATTGGGAACAAATCATCATTTCATTTAAACAAGTAGTAGTTCTTATTTTCCTAAATTCTGAGGTATTGAAGCCTCTTCCTCTTTAGGTCAGACCCGTGAAGATCTGGGGTAGAGTAGGTCTTCAGCAACCCATGCTTGCCGTACAAGGCAACTATGCTTGTCCCTCATGAAGATCCAGGGTAGAGTAGGTCTTCAGCAACCCATGCTTGCCGTTCAAGGCAACTATGCTTGTCCCTCGTGAAGATCCAGGGTAGAGTAGGTCTTCAGCAACCCATGCTTGCCGTTCAAGGCAACTAGGCTTGTCCCTCATGAAGATCCAGGGTAGAGTAGGTCTTCAGCAACCCATGCTTGCCGTTCAAGGCAACTATGCTTGTCCTTCATGAAGATCCAGGGTAGAGTAGGTCTTCAGCAACCCATGCTTGCCGTTCAAGGCAACTATGCTTGTCCCTCATGAAGATCCAGGGTAGAGTAGGTCTTCAGCAACCCATGCTTGCCGTTAGAGGTAACTAATGGGAACAGGTTATCAGGCTCGCTGACTTGGCGTTAAACAACAAACAAACATAGTCATGGAATCAGGCCGATCATTGTGTTGCAATTACATGGGAATATGCTGAATAACGAGGGGGCATGTGTGGCCCAGTCGACTTAAGGCGCCACAATTTGCTGTGCAGTTGCGTCCAGTAGGTACACATAAACCTATGATTGTGGTTTAAATCCCAGTACAATCATGCTTCTCGGTGTGTCAGCACCATGCACATGCTTGTAGTCCTCACCAAAGTGGTAAACATCCTAGACCAGCATCACTTCAGGCTTTCCTCCCACATTAAGTTGACATGCCATTATATAACTGGACTACTGTTCACTCACTCACTGAATAACATCAGGAATATTCTCAACCACTGTAGTGTTTACTTAATGGACTAAGTACCTTGGAAACAAACATGCCTTTACTCACATTCTTTGTCAGATAGGTGTTTGTTTTGCTGTTTCATAAGTGTACACTGTTTCTTCTAGAAATACTTCCTTCAACAGTGTTTGAACATTATAAAGAAACAAAGTATTTGCTATATTTGTCAAGTTTCAGTTGTTGTAGAGATATGGGTTGACATGTCTGAGGGTCAGGGTGTTTTGTCTAATTAATTATTATCAAGGACAAGTTTCAGATGAAACCTGGAACATGGCTGATGTATCAGGGGCATCTGGGATTTGTCTGGGTCATGTGTGCTGTGTGCCTGTAGTGTCGAGACCTGATAATAGTGATAAGTGAGTCAAGTGTCTGATGTGTCAGAGACCTGATATTAGTGATATGTGAGTCATGTTTGATGTGTCGAGACCTGATAATAGTGATATGTGACTCGTGTGTCTGATGTGTCGAGACCTGATAAAAATGATATGTGAGTCATGTTTGATGTGTCGGAGACCTGATAATAGTGATATGTGAGATGTGTGTCTGTGTCGAGGCCTGATAATAGTGCTATGTGAGTCAAGTGTCTGATGTGTCGAGACCTGATAATAGTGATATGTGAGTCATGTGTTTCATGTGTCGAGACCTGATAATAGTGATATGTGAGTCATGTGTTTGATGTGTCAAGATCTGATTATAGTGATATGTGAGTCATGTGTTGAGACCTGATAATAGTGATATGTGAGTCATGTGTTTTATGTGCCTGAGACCTGGTTCTGATGTGTCCAAGACTGGTTCTGATAATAGTGCATAGAGTATCTGCCTCATGCATCTCTGTCAAACATTGTCAAGGGCATGTGTCCGACAAGTCCGTGGCATGTTTCAGACAGGTCACAGAGAGTGGAAGGTCCGGTGGTTCGATCCTCAGCTGCAATCCTCAGCCGCGATCCTCAGCCGTATTATACCAAAAGACCAAAAGATGGTACTTGTTACCCTGTTATTCCAGTCAGGGAATGTATACATGGCATGTGTCCCATTATATCGGAGGCATGTGGGCTAAAGGAATGTCATGAGAGGCTAAAGAATGTGTCTGGTTTATATGTGGCATGTAGTGCAACATGTCGGAGGCATGTAGGTGACCAGCCAGGGAATGTCATGAGAGGCTAAAGAATGTGTTCGGTTTATATGTGGCATGTATTGCAACATGTCGAGGCATATAGGCGACCAGCCAGGGAATGTCATGAGAGGCTAAAGAATGTGTCTGGTGTATACGTGGCATGTGTCCCAACATGTCGGAGGCATGTAGGTGACCAATCAGGGAATGTCATGAGAGGCTAAAGAACGTGTCTGGTGTATACGTGGCATGTGTTGCAACATGTCGGAGGAATGTAGGTGACCAGTCAGGGAATGTCATGAGAGGCTAAAGAATGTGTCAGGAGTATACGTGGCATGTGTTGCAACATGTCGGAGGCATGTGGGCGACCAGTCAGGGAATGTCATGAGAGGCTAAAGAATGTGTCCGGTGTATACGTGGCATGTGTTGCAACATGTTGGAGGAATGTAGGTGACCAGTCAGGGAATGTCATGAGAGGCTAAAGAATGTGTCCGGTGATACGTGGCATGTGTCCCAACATGTCGGTGACGTGTCTGACCAGCCCTGGGTATGTGTCAAGGACATTTGTCCAATGTGTGATATGCATGCTATTCTACCCAACTTCTCCCCAGGTCCTATGGCAGTGTATTCAAGTCCCTGCACAAGGAGTCGGGCCAGGTCCTCGCTATCAAGCAGGTCCCGGTGGACACCGACCTCCAGGAGATCATCAAGGAGATCTCCATCATGCAGCAGTGCGACAGCCCCTTCATTGTCAAGTACTACGGTAGCTACTTCAAGAACACAGACTTATGGGTATGTGAAGCAGTAGTCACAGAAGAAGGTGTCAATAGTCAGGTTTGGGGCGGGAAAAAGTTCTGCCTTGCTTCTGTTTTTTGAAAAGGAAATTAAATTTTGGATTCACCTGACAAATCAATTGAGCTTTATTTGTGGCTTGGTGTCCATCTTGCGTCCATCAGGTTGTATTTCAATCCATAACTTTTGCATTTTCCACATCTCTTATGGAGAAAAGGCCTACTGAGCTGAAACTATGTATGAATGATCCCAGTTATTTTGTCTCTAAAAGTTGCTCCAGGATTTTGATTCATTGTTCAACATGGCCACCACAGCAGCCATATTTAGAGTATTAATTGACAATCATTTGTTTAAATATATTGAATTTGGCATAGGTGTAGATAGTAGTGGTGTTTAACATGTGTGTTCGAATTTTGGGGATATGATGAATTTTGACCTTCATTCAACCTTGACTGCATAACAGTTGGTGTCCCCAAAGAGAAATTGCAGAATTTGAAAATGCCTCATATTGTTGCAATGGAAACCAAACTTGTCTGAGAAAAGGAGGAGAGGCTGTTGCTCAACCTACACCTTTTGATATAAGGAGAAAATATGAAACCAAGTTCAAGCAGGCCTAAACTGTCCACAGATGGAAGGCCATTGTTTTAAGAAAACAATTAAATAATGTGTCAGTTACCCCTTGCTTGGCCAAAGCCAAACAAGCCTTTACTTCAATCATCAAGACAAGGGATAGAAAGCTACAGCACATCAAAGAGGGGTCTCTTTCTTGTGACAGACAACTTTAAAAGTACATGACCCTGTGACCTCTGGTAACCCTGACACTGACCTTTGCAGCTGACAGACTTAAGTACTTTTACTGTACTCTTAGATAACAGATACTGCTTATCGATGAAGCTGAAATTTGGCATGCAGGTTCCTTTTTATGAAGAAATCTTATCTTGTTCAAATCAATGTGATTTTATTGGAAGCTGTTTTGTTAATATTTTAAAAATCAAATATGCCACAAAAACAATATGAATCCTTTAGGATTAGGTATACACATGATGAAGCTCATCAAGTCACCAGTGATGTATATGAGAAACCCTGACTTATTATAATTGTTTCTATTATTTATATGGATACTGTAATTACCGTATTCGACATAATAAGCGCCCAGGGAGCTCTCAAAATTAGAAATAGGGGGCTCTTATTAGAATATTATTTTGGTGAAAGAAACAGAGTTGAAAGATAAACTTTGTGGTTAATGCTGACAGCCTGAAGTATTTATGTATGACCAGATGACAGATATATTTTTCCAGAATTTAATTGCCCATAATTAAGGGTGCATATATAACACACGAGTGTGTATTATACGCGAATAAATAAGTCTTGTGTACATTGATCAATCGGAAGGGATGCTAATTGGGATTGTTCACTAACCATTATATTAGCAAATGTATTAGAGCTTATTAGAGCGGGGCACTTATTATGTCGAATACGGTATTGTGAATGTTTGATTGAGCTATATTACTGCCAGTTTCTAATGCTGATATTTTCAGGCATCTATTTAAACTTTTGATAAGTCAACTGGCACTCGTTTGAATTTTGAGAAATTATTTTACAACAGATGAAACAGTGATAGTCTGGCAATTAAATTTTTATCTTAAAATACAGATGCTAAAAACACTGGAATCTCTTTTCACATAAGATGATCTTGACTGCATTTGTATGAGCTTACCACTACAATATTGCGTATGTGATACCGATGAGCAGGGCGTGTGACAATATGTTCTCTCCACCAGATCGTCATGGAGTACTGCGGAGCCGGGTCTGTGTCCGACATAATGAGGTTGCGGAACAAAACTGTAAGTAGTCATGGTTGTTGTCATTCTCAGCAGTGTTAACTACTGAGGTTGCAAGTCCTGCGATCCTGGGGTAGTGGAATAAACTAGTTGGGGAAACAGTTGCTGGCCATGCTGAGGAACTGGGTTTCATTCCCCACATGGGTACAACGTGTGTCCCATGTCTATAAGGTCACCTCCAAATCTTCAGGTCTTTGGCATGGATGCAGAGGTGAAGATGTGTATACCTGTCATTGTGGTAGTAATGTAGTGTCCTCAGAGAGTATGCAGTCTTACACAGGGCTGTGACTGGTAGCATTGCAGACATGCATGGTACACACATGCGATTTAGAATTATAAAAAATTAAAAAGAATTCATTTTCAATGTTTGCTTTATTTCCTGTTAATCAGCTGTTGTTCCTTGTTCCTTGTATCGGTCCATGACCTTCAATATGCTGTCACACTGCATATAGCACTCTCTCATACAGCGGTATACAGGTTGTACAGCAGATACTGCTTGCTCACTCACTCACTCACTCACTCACTCACTCACTCACTCACTCACTCATGGCTGTGGGGGGTTGCATACAAGTTGTGTAGCAGATACTGCTGCCTTGACTCACTCCCTCACTCACTGATGACTGTGGGGAGCAGTGTACAAGTTGTATAGCAGATACTGCTGCCTTGACTCACTCACTCACTCACTGATGACTGTGGGGAGCAGTATACAAGTTGTATAGCAGATACTGCTGCCTTGACTCACTCACTCACTCCTGCCTGTTGGGAGCAGTATACTATATGTATAGCAGATACTGCTGCCTTGACTCACTCACTCACTCACTGATGACTATGGGGAGCAATATACAAGTTGTATAGCAGATACTGTTGCCTTGACTCACTCACTCACTCACTGATGACTGTGGGGAGCAGTATACTATATGTATAGCAGATACTGCTGCCTTGACTCACTCACTCACTCACTCACTCACTCACTCACTCACTGATGACTGTGGGGAGCAGTGTACAAGTTGTATAGCAGATACTGCTGCCTTGACTCACTCACTCACTCACTGATGACTGTGGGGAGCAGTATACAAGTTGTATAGCAGATACTGCTGCCTTGACCCACTCACTCACTCCTGCCTGTTGGGAGCAGCATACAAGTTGTATAGCAGATACTGCTGCCTTGACTCACTCACTCACTCACTCACTGATGACTGTGGGGAGCAGTGTACAAGTTGTATAGCAGATACTGCTGCCTTGACTCCCTCACTTACACATGTCTGTCGGGAGCAGTGTACAAGTTGTATAGCAGATACTGCTGCCTTGACTCACTCACTCACTCACTGATGACTGTGGGGAGCAGTATACAAGTTGTATAGCAGATACTGCTGCCTTGACTCACTCACTCACTCCTGTCTGTGGGGAGCAGTGTACAAGTTGTATAGCAGATACTGTTGTCTTGACTCACTCACTCACTCCTGTCTGTGGGGAGCAGTGTACAAGTTGTATAACAGAAACTGCTGCCTTGACTCACTCACTTACACATGTCTGTCGGGAGCAGTGTACAAGTTGTATAGCAGATACTGTTTTCTTGACTCCCTCACTTACACATGTCTGTCGGGAGCAGTGTACAAGTTGTATAGCAGATACTGCTGCCTTGACTCACTCACTTACTCACTGATGACTGTGGGGAGCAGTATACAAGTTGTATAGCAGATACTGCTGCCTTGACTCACTTACTCACTCCTGCCTGTTGGGAGCAGTATACAAGTTGTATAGCAGATACTGCTGCCTTGACTCACTCACTCACTCACTCACTCACTCACTCACTGATGACTGTGGGGAGCAGTGTACAAGTTGTATAACAGATACTGCTGCCTTGACTCCCTCACTTACACATGTCTGTTGGGAGCAGTATACAAGTTGTATAGCAGATACTGCTGCCTTGACTCACTCACTCACTCACTCACTGATTACTGGGGGGAGCAGTGTACAAGTTGTATAACAGATACTGCTGCCTTGACTCCCTCACTTACACATGTCTGTCGGGAGCAGTATACAAGTTGTATAGCAGATACTGCTGCCTTGACTCACTCACTCACTCACTCACTCACTCACTCACTCACTCACTCACTCACTGATGACTGTGGGGAGCAGTGTACAAGTTGTATAACAGATACTGCTGCCTTGACTCCCTCACTTGCACATGTCTGTCGGGAGCAGTATACAAGTTGTATAGCAGATACTGCTGCCTTGACTCACTCACTCACTCACTCACTCACTGATGACTGTGGGGAGCAGTGTACAAGTTGTATAACAGATACTGCTGCCTTGACTCCCTCACTTACACATGTCTGTCGGGAGCAGTATACAAGTTGTATAGCAGATACTGTTGTCTTGACTCACTCACTCACTCCTGTCTGTCAGGAGCAGTGTACAAGTCGTGCCATGTGTGGAATCCTTGTTAGAACAGATTTCAGCAACCTGTGTTTATCGATATATATCAAGTGGTTAAACATGGTTGATAGCATGTCATTGTACCTTGATAATGTTATTTACTGGCTCTGTGGATATTCTGGGTTAGAATAGATCCTAAGCATCCCTGTTGCATTGGGGAAGAGATGTAGTCATGTTAATGGATCGAGAGTGGTCAGTCTGAGTGACATGGTTGATTGTGTGTCTTCGCACCCTGTGGATTGTCATAATATCCATCACTGGCATGTCAGGTCCAGACTCATATGGCTGGAATATTGCTCGGTGCTGTGTTTAGACAAACAAAATTAAAAAGATTTATTACTGGCCGCCATCATATAGCTGAAATATTGCTGAATGCTAAGCAGCCAACAAACAAATGACTCACTGATGATGTTGTGTGCAGCTGAACGAGGAGGAGATCGCCACGATCCTGGAGTACACTCTAAAGGGCCTGGAGTACCTGCACTCCCGCAGGAAGATACATCGAGATATCAAGGCTGGCAACATCCTGCTCAACACAGAGGGACATGCTAAACTGGCTGACTTCGGGGTGGCTGGACAACTCACAGTGAGTACACCCTGTCATTTTCTTCTTGTGCATGCAATCATGGGAACAGATTCTTCAACTTACACCGTCATGCAGACATACCTGCAGGTTCATATAGGTCTACCTGTGAAGATTCGGGTGGGAATTGCTCTTCAGCAACCCATGCTTGTCGTAAGAGGCGACCAACAGGTTTGGATGGTCAGGCTCGCTGACTTGGTAGTGCATGTCATTGTACAGAGATGCCAACCGTTGGCTTAATAATTATGCTTTTTATCCTAAAATTACACTTTTACACATGTCCTCCTCAAATGATATTTTTGACATTTCTTTTTGTAGAATTACTTTCATGCATAAAATATCATGGAGATCAAATTGTTAACGCACCGATCTCATGATGCATTCTACCATGTTCTACAGTAAACATATTATTGCATGCACACCAATATTTCTTCGGAACTCGAAACACCACATTGTCTCTCTGCAAGTTAATAATGTATTGTCACATGATGGATTTTATAGATGTGTGGAGCTTTGACCACATGTTTCAGCAAGAAGGCAGTATGCTGGACATAGTCTAACACCTGCCACAAGTTTTTCTTGTCGCTTCACTAAAATAACAGAGGGAGCTGGGATAACTTCTATTTTCGAGTAATTTCTCAATGTTGATGTCAAATTTTTCCAATGCGTATGGATTGCTTTCACATTCAATTTCGAGGTTTAATCATATATTAAACCATTTAAACAAAAGCAGAGTAATTTCTTCTGCTTGTTTTGAGCTTTATATCGCCCTATTTTTCAAATACTGACTCTGTCCCCTGCGGCTATATTGCTAGCATCAATGCATGTGTACCCTGGTTTCACTTGCGTCTGGGCATATCAAGAATGTTAACTTTTTGAAGCGAAAACCCGGATCGGGTACAAAAAACATTATGCTTTTTCACATGAAAATACACTTTTTTACCCCAAAATTTCAATTAGGATTCACATCTCTGTATTGTATCCCAATTGCAATCAATGCTCATGATGTCCATCACCAGATTGTCTGGTCAAGATTCAACTGTTTATTCACCGCCGTCATATAGCTGGAATATTGCTGAGTGCGGCATAAACAAACAAAAAATCATATTGGTCTATTGACTGATTTGTCTGCTTGTCTGGATAGGGAAAAATTTAATCTCAATATGATTGTGACCTGACCCAGAATCTGGACATCATAAAACATATAATATAGACAATTTTGACTTCTACTTTTCATAATTAAATTGTCTGAAGTTTATGCTAACGATGTGCAAGCTGTGGTGTTGTCCTCTGTGTGTGAACTGTAGCATAATGCATATATCAACCAACTGCCATATATCTCTTCAGGATACAATGGCCAAGAGGAACACAGTGATTGGGACACCCTATTGGATGGCACCGGAGGTCATACAGGAGATAGGTTATGACTGTGTAGCAGATATATGGAGTTTGGGTGAGTAGCCTGAAGCAGGTTCACAAAACACAAGTCAGACCAGATGTAGAATTCCCATAATGTTTTGGACTAAATGGTATGGAGTTTAGACTAGTTTTCCTGACCTTGAACATGTTAACATATTTGACGCTCCCTTCACTCACAAGATATGATCTGCCAAATGTTAACATATGGTTTCGATGAAGTGGAAGTTTCTTTTTGTGATAGTTTGTCTGAACTAGAGATGTCATATTATCAGGTAAATGCAAAGGAAAATATCACATGATAAATTACCTGTTCACAGGTTCTGAAGAATTGTTTCTTCTTTTCTCAAACCTTAAATTGTGTGAAAATACAGCTGGCTTCGAATATTCATCATGGTGGTAATGGTTCTTTGACCAACAGAATGCAGTGTGTGGTTTTATGTGGTTAAAATGGGAAAGGTAGTGTTACAAGCTGCATGTCTGTGTGGATGTTTTCAGGTATCACTGCCCTGGAGATGGCTGAGGGGAAGCCCCCATATGGAGATATTCACCCAATGAGGGTAAGCAAGTCTGGAGATCACCTGTCCGTCGTGCTGGTCACGTGTAAAGAGTGGTGCAGCTGGAGTGCAGTCTGTGAATTTAGCCACTAATCCAAAGCCCGAGTCAAGTAAAACATCTGTTCGGTCAAGTAATCTCAGCTAATGATTGTCCACGTGATACCACTAAATTCCACTGAAAATGATGCCCATCCTCGAGTGAGTAGACTCAATGGATTTTAGCACAGGCTGACAGTGTGTCATTTTCACAACTGTGTTGAGCTTGGCACAAGTTCATGTTCTTGTTGATGAGTGAGTGAGTGATTATTGCTTCATGCCGCATCAGCAATATTGCAGCTATTCACTGCAGCTCTTGTTGGTCACTTGATATAGGTGATGCATTCATGACTCTGAAGACAAGTGAAGTCCAAAATGTAGTTGTTTATTCCACTGTTTTTCTACTTTTTAGGGCTTTGGGTAACAAGTGTTCATCTGTGCTTAATATACACTGCTTCTATTGTGACGGTGATGTGCCAGGAAATGAATGCAGGTATATGAAGAGTGGTGTTCATTTCAGGCGATCTTCATGATACCCACCAAACCTCCCCCATCGTTCAGGAATCCAGACAAGTGGACCCCCGAGTTTATTGACTTTGTCTCAAAGTGTCTCGTGAAAAACCCTGAAACCAGAATCACAGCATCAGAACTCTTACAGGTATGTGACAGATTACCTCCCTTTGTCTGGTCTTCTCCAAAGTAGTGTGTTTTAGATTATGGCTACTTATGGAGCATTGCTTCGTATTATTGATTACGTCACTTTATTTCCATGATGAGTTCTACATGTGGTACTATTGTCCTACAACCTGCCTTGTTTGAGTATTATTGATGACATCACTGTATTTGGGTAATGAGTTCTTCATGTGGTACTATTCTCCTACAACCGGCCTTGTTTCAGCATGATTTCATCAAGCAGTCCAAGTCTTGTGAGGTTCTGCAGAAGATGATTCAGGAAGCCAAGGAGATACAGGATGCTCATTCCATGGTGACGCTCAATGGGGAGGATTCAGTAAGTCCAGCTCATGATTACCGTTGTCTAATGTAGGGATTCCCCTGGATATTCCAGCAGTGTCTCAGCCGATTATGAATATGTCATGCAGTTATTAACTCAAGATGTTCCAATGTAGTTAGTTTTGATTTCAACTTTCAAAAGGTTTGGGCACAAATTCCTCGGTCTTTCCTACCAACCTCTATTTAGCTTTCTCATTCTTATGTTACTGGTGGTATAACGATACAGTGATACAGTTCTGTATCTCAGTGTGAGGCCCGTGATACAATACAACCCATGTGTCGTGATATATGCGATAAATTTCATTACAAGTTATATTGTTGTAAAAACATGTGAATAATAACTTCAGATCCAGCTTACACAGATTCTGTAGTATTTCCAGGTTGGCTATGGAAGCAAAACATTCACAGTGCCCTCTGTCTATATGTTTCTGCCCTACATTATCCCATCTTTTATCTCTGAAGTTTAAAAACAAATGATTACAGGGTTTTATTCACCTACAACAAGAAAGAATATGAACTTATGAAATATAAGTACTGTATCGAGATACAAATTGTATTGCACCCATAGTATCAGGAGATGCGCCGTATCAACCCCACCATATTGTTACAGATGTAAATATTACATATACTCATTCTGTTTTGTTGCTTTATTGTCTAATGAGGGGCAGTGGGGTAGCCTAGTGGTTAAGGCGATCGCTCGTCACGCTGAAGACCTGGGTTCGATTCCCTACATGGGCACATTGAAGCCCATTTCTGGTGTCCCTTGCCGTGATATTGCTGGAATATTGCTATCAGCGGCATAAAACCATACACACTCACTATTGTCTGATGATGATTTAGCTGGAATATTGCTGACTGCGGTATTCTTGTTTGCTCAAACACCCACCCACCTATGAACAGAGATCCTGTGAGAAATGTAGTGAAGAATAAGTCTGACAAATAGAGTGTTTGTTGGCACATAAGGCCAGGGTGCAGGTCACCAGTTAATCTATAGCCAATTCACCTTTCCTGTACTCAGCAGTTCCGTCAAACCAATCTACAGTAATATTCTTCTGTAGAGGCCATTTATTACACAGTTGCTTCACTTATATCTGGACAATTAGCCTTAGGTATTTAACACTACAGTCAGACATCAACTACAGGACATGACAAATCATTAAAAATCTGACAGCACCACAACACAAACACACTGCAGGGTTAGAAACTAACAGTTTTTGTCCACTAGTCCTTATAATGATAACATATAGTAAAACCCTTAAAATGGGCCAATTTCTACTCGTCCTTAGGATACCTTTACTATTGGGCAGTTTGGTAAGGACTACAGGACTAGTGCCAATTTCTAACGCTGCACTGTAGCCCTTTCACAGAATGGGTTGAATAAAAGGGAGGTAAATTCATATAATTCTGGGTTACCTCCCTTGGTGGTATTATGTTTCGGTGCTGTTGTGTCACTGCTGTAACTCCTTGTAGAGCTGTGTGGAGCTGTCTAGATGTGACTGTGTGTGGAGCTGTCTACATGTGACTGGAGCTGTCTAGATGTGACTGGAGCTGTCTAGATGTGACTGTGTGTGGTGCTGTCTACATGTGACTGTGGAGCTGTCTACATGTGACTGTGGAGCTGTCTAGATGTGACTGTGTGTAGAGTTGTCTAGATGTGACTGTGTGGAGCTGTCTAGATGTGACTGGAGCTGTCTAGATGTGACTGTGTGTAGAGTTGTCTACATGTGACTGTGTAGAGCTGTCTACATGTGACTGTGTAGAGTTGTCTAGATGTGACTGTGTGTAGAGTTGTCTAGATGTGACTGTGTGGAGCTGTCTAGATGTGACTGTGTGTAGAGTTGTCTAGATGTGACTGTGTGGAGCTGTCTACATGTGACTGTGTGGAGCTGTCTAGATGTGACTGTGTAGAGTTGTCTAGATGTGACTGTGTGTAGAGTTGTCTAGATGTGACTGTGTGGAGCTGTCTAGATGTGACTGTGTGTAGAGTTGTCTAGATGTGACTGTGTGGAGCTGTCTACATGTGACTGTGTGGCTTGTGCTTTCCAGGGGGATGAGGATGAAACAGATGGGACGATGGTGAAGAAGACTGAGGATGTCGATGGAACCATGAAGGCACAGAGGGAAACTGGTACAGTGACATGTTATTCAGTAGCAGGCAGCTTATTCATGAAAGCTGTTTGGCGCTAAGCTTGTCGTATAGTGTCTGTGAATACACAATACCTGTTTAGAAGGTGGTCATATGTAACAAATGTCATATCTGGGATAGCACTTTCGAAGTAAAGTACAAATTCTAGTATTGTTGGGGCTTAGAATACTGCCTTTATGTGCTTAAGATAAGGGGCCTCATTCTCAGAGTGTGTGTTCGAATCCTGGATGGGACTCAACCCAAAAAAAGAACTAGAATTTGTACTTTGCTAGAGAGTGTTATCTCAAATATTACACTTGTGTCAGAGGGAATGAAAGATCTTGGCTCAAACATCTGATTCTAGAGGCTGTGTTAGTCATCATAAGTTTATGACCATAATTACTGATATAATCAATGAGAATGTCAAATTGACAAACTTTCTTGTGTTAACTACTTCTAGTTCAATATTTATACATTCAAGGAGGATTGTATAAATGTGTTTATAAGGGAGTAGCCATTCTGACTTGAGAGCTGGATTGACATTGTAAAGGCTTCAGATTGGGCCTTATTCTAGAGCAATGACTATTTGTTTTAAAGTTGACATTGCTTGAATGTCCCTTAAAAGAGGATAAGATATAGAGAATCTCACCCGAGTGTCTTTTGATATCAAATATATCAACATGAGTTGATAAAAGTGGGAAAACTCCGAGGTTTGCCGAGGATTTTTGCCACTTTTATCAACGAGTGTTGATATATTTGATATCAAAAGACACGAGGGTGAGATTTTATTTATCATCCAACATCATTCTTTCAACTTTTTCAATTTGTAGACAGTAATTAGCAGTGTCTTCAGTGTAAAAAGTACTGAAAACAGCTTCAGTAGCGGAGCCATTAGTGATGTCATTTGATTGTGACGTCATGGTAACCAGTGATGTCACAATGGTCTGCAAACCATTGTGATGTAATTTCATTGCAGCGATATCTACAGTGTAGATATCGCTTGATCTCATGCAAGCGATATCTCCTTTGGGAGCCAGTTTTGGATGATAAAACAAAAATATCCTCCTGTCATTGTCAGCAGACAAATCATCCGCCCTCATGGTGTAGTGGTAGAGGTGTAACGATACAGGAGGGTTGCGATACGATACGTATCGCGATACAGGGGTCGCGATACGATACGTATCACTATACAGTGTTTACTGGTACAAGCTAAGCCAAGTTGATGTCTTTCTGCTCTCTAAAAGATGTGACAAGTACAGTTGAAGAAGATATAAGGTGTTTATTTACTGTTATAGCAAAGTGTCAGCAATACAGTATGTTTTACTTAAACAACAAACTGGCTTTGAAACTGTTAAACGTATTTCATGTATTTTCTTGAGTATAGTGCGCACCCATCTGTAATGCGCACCCCCCTCTAGTGGATTCACTATTTTGGAAAAAAAGAAATTTGAATATTATGCGCAGACAAAAATTACACCGTGCCCCTTCAGCGAACTTTGTCGGTATAAATTCGAAATTTGAGATAAAAAATCACCAGACATGTTGATTGACCGTTTAAATTGTAGTTTTCGTTCAGCTAGGCATTGTTTTATATCCAGGGATTAAGATTACCTTGTGTATTTTCTCGTAAACTAAGCTGGACACAGCAATCAGCTGTACACACGTTTTCTTGGAATATACCGGTGATTCGGTCAAGACACACCCAATGATATAACTTTACAGGATTTTAATAGCAAGGATCGGCAAAAGTTGTATCTGAAACTATTTTTTTAGCAGGAATAATATGTTTTAGTCTGTTTTCAGTCGTACAATTGGGTATCTCATACCTCTAGTCGCACGTTAAAAGGAAGCCAGAAGCTGGAATGTAAACAATAAACTTGTTTCCGTACGGTTGCGCACGCACCTCCCGATGACATGCCACAAATCTCTGAGCGCGCCTCTGAGCTGGTCGCTCGAGAAGGACTTTCGCGATAGACTGCTAGTTTGTATTCTACTAGTACTTATCGTGTGTCTACAGTTGTTGTTCTAATACAGTAATAATACTATGTCTTACCTGTAGACTCCTGGAATGTAATCATTGGTAATCCATTGTTTGGGTTCAACACATGTTTCACTTGATTATACACGTGGCAACATGTCGGGCATTTGTGCCTCGTGTCAAGGACAACTGTCTAAAGTAGATCCTCTCAAGTATTGTCCTTCCTGCATAAATAAGGACGGGTTTTCAACGTGTTCGTGGAATAAACGTTGTTAAGAATATGAGCATTTGTCTTCTATCAACTTTAACTTGTATCTTCGTGCGTTGGCGAAGCGGGCTACTGACCAGCGCTACAGGCAGAGGAGGTCATCTGGTGGATCCTTGGACTCTGCACCCCCTACATCTGGCCCTGGGGGTGGCGCGTCGGCCACACCCAAGAAATCAGTTGAAAAAGACCCGCCTCAGTCAACTTATGTTTTTGACAAGACACGGGACTGTTCGCCTGCTGATGATACTACCCGCACGACTGATCTTCGTCAATCGGTTGATCGAGAGCGTCACTCAGCCACCCCCGTTATGACGGGACCGGGTGGTGACGAGGACCACGAGGGGACTACGGTCCGTCTCTCGTCCTACCAACGACGATAGGAACGTCGTGCGGGTCGACAGTGAACACAGATCCCTCTCTAGAAGTCGTTCCCGTTCACGGGACGACAGGTCGAGGGCCTCATCGAGTGACAGTAAACGACACGAGGACGTTCGTCGCCTTCGAGGTCGTCGGGAGTTCGATTCGGACGATAACTACGATGGGGATCATAGTACTTCTACAGTTAGAGATCGTAGCCCTCGTCCCCACGGGGACGTGCGACGCCTTCGAAGGGAGTTTTTGGGAGATCAGCGTCGTAGAGATAATGATCGATCGTGACCCTCGTCTCACTTTCATATCGACCCGGCTTTGATAGGCCAGATGACGGCGGCGGTACTCGCCTTGACGGCGTCGACCGAGAAGGGTTCATCTACGTCGGAGGTCCATGGACCATCGTCCTGTACACCGGTTCCTTCATCTACGCCTACACAATCGACGTCGACGATGGATTGTGACGACAGCGCCGTAGAGATAATGATCGATCGTGACCCTCGTCTCACTTTCATATCGACCCGGCTTTGATAGGCCAGATGACGGCGGCGGTACTCGCCTTGACGGCGTCGACCGAGAAGGGTTCGTCTACGTCGGAGGTCCATGGACCATCGTCCTGTACACCGGTTCCTTCATCTACGCCTACACAATCGATGTCGACGATGGATTGTGACGACAGCGTCGTAGAGATAATGACCGATCGACACCCTCGTCTCACTTTCATATCGCCCCAGCTTTGATAGCCCAGATCACGACGGCGGTACTCACCTCCAGGGCGTCGACCAAGAAGGATTCGACTACGTCAGAGGTCCATGGACCATCGACCAATACACCAGTACCTTCATCTACATCTACACAATCGACGTCGATGATGGATTGTGACGACAGCCTGGCTATGGCTTGGCTATCTCACTTTTCTGCCTGAGTTATCATGACGATGACAAACCGACGTGTGCTGGCTTAAAGGTTGGAGATACGCCGCAGTCTCTTCAGTCTCCCCTCCCAATGTCTTCAGAGCCATGGTTCACGATATGGACCAGAACTTGCCTCTGCTCTGCCGGGGCAGAGTTTCAGCAAACCACCTGTTCGATCGCGTTACCCGATCTATGGCATGCCGTTTTCGTCACCCATGAGTAGGGACTTGGACTGGGGGCTACTCTTCAAGAAACCAGCGCCCTCCAAGATTCTTGTAGTAGACAGGCATTGGGGATCCATGGACACTGCTGTTCGTCTCCAGCTACAACCGCTTGCTATGCTGTCGACAGCGAGCCGGCGGGGGAGGTAGTGAGGTCCCTTTTCCCCGCCGTCACCGTCGTAGGAGCCTACTACCTTTAGACGAGCTACCGGTAGGGGGAAGACTTCATCACACGGATCATGAAGACGGTCGTAGAATGGCTCCGTTGGCAGGCGATCAGGGTCGCCTTCTACCTAGACGAGCCGTCTCCTACGGGCGACAGGCTCACTAAAATACCGGAATTGCAGAAAATTCTACGTGCCTTCATGGTTGAAGATGAGTCACATTAATTCCGCCTGCCGGCCTGGGACCTCGATATCGTTCTGCGCTACCTGTCTAGTTAGACTTACGAGCCTCTCGATCAGGTCGCCTTCGACATTGTCTCCGACTAGAAGTACTGCTCGTATTTTTTAGTTACCTTGTATACTGCGAGTTGCTCTGTAACTAAATTCTGCGCCGACCACACTTCGATCGCAATTCATCTGACGTGTGCAGTTGTCATGTCGCATCGATAATTTGTTGTGTGTCGAAGAGCATTAACCATGCTATTTTTCGTTACCTTGGATACGACGAGTCGTTCTGAACCACTTTATATACCGTCCACACTTCGATCGCAATTCAACTGTCGTGTGCAGTTGTCCTGTCGCTTCGATAGTTACTTGTGGGTCGAAGAGCATTAAACATGCTGTTTTAGTTACCTTGTATACTGCGAGTTGCTCTGTAACTAAACTATACGTCGACCGCTTCGATCGCAGTTCAACTGACGTGTGCAGTTGTCCTGTCGCATCGATAATTAGTAGTGTGTCGAAGAGCATTAAACATGCAGTTTTAGTTACCTTGGATACGACGAGTCGTTCTGAAACTAAATTATATGCCGTCCACACTTCGATTGCAATTCGACTGTCGTGTGCAGTTGCCTTGTCGCATCGATACTTACTTGTGGGTCGAAGAGCATTAAACATGCTGTTTAGTTACCTTGTATACTGCGAGTTGCTCTGTAACTAAACTATACGTCGACCACTTCGATCGCCGTTCAACTGACGCGTGCAGTTGTCCTGTCGCATTGATAATTAGTTGTGTGTCGATGAGCATTAACCATGCTGTGCGTTCGTAATAAACAATTTGTCTCGTCCGTGCATCTGGTCGAATGTTCTATTGTCACTACAGGGGTGAGGAACTTGGTACATTCGACGTGCAAGAGGTCACTTCCGGATTACTTTCCAGACCCTCCTTCCAGTGTTCCGTCGAATTCTACCCATTTGTACGACTGAAAACAGACTAAAACATGGGTTTTTCAGATTAAAAACGATGTTTTATTGGTCTGTTTTCAGTCGTACGTTCCCACCCAGCCATCCCCACTGGGAAGTAATCCAGTCCAGTCCTGCTTGATGGCTTATTCTTCGAGATTTGTGGCATGTCATCGGGAGGTGCGTGCGCAACCGGACGGAAACAAGTTTATTGTTTACATTCCAGCTTCTGGCTTCCTTTTAACGTGCGACTAGAGGTATGAGATACCCAATTGTACGACTGAAAACAGACCAATAAAACATCGTTTTTAATCTGAAAAACCCATATTCCAATATCTTGTTAATTTAGATGCAACTTTTACTAAACATATTTAAAATAATAATTATCCTAAGCGAAGCAGCTGAACGCTATTGCCGGGTATTATTTTTTACATGGAACCAGTCTGACCAGTCACCGTCAAGGCTACCGTGCACATGATCGCGTGATCGCGAGAATTACGTGTTGACATAGAATCGTCCAACAAAAACAAATATGACTTTTAACGAATCAAAGTATGGCATTTATGATATATGTATCCATTCTCTGTCAACTAAAGTTCGTTTCAAGGCGTCAATAGCGGTAATCTGACCGTGGTTGCTGTTAATAACGGTGAGTTGTGAGATCTTCCGATCGCTTCACACACGATTTCGCCAAAATTAATTAAAACAATATTAAAAGGAATTTTGAATAATAATAATAATAATAATTTGCGAACTTCAGTATGGATTTGTTGACATGGTATTTCCGGTGTTACGTGCTCGCGGTAATGTCTTTCAATGGGGGAAAAAACATCAAAACTCATTTAACTCGTGTATAATGCGCACCCCCTTCTACACAGCTGTGTTTTTTGGAAAAAGGTGCGCACTATACTTAAGAAAATACGGTAAGTAAAACTGTGTTATGAAAATATCGTATGTATCGCGATACATGCTTTCCAAATCGATGCATCATATCGTGGGCTGTGCATCGGGATACAATACTGTATGTAGTGGATAGAGCATCTGCCTGTTAAACAAAGTTGGTGAGTTTGATCCGCTGGCTGTGTCATACCTAGAGACGTTAGGAGATGGTACCCCTTGTTACCATGCCAGACATGTGGCATTAGGGGGATAAAACTAGGGCTAGCAATATAACTGTTTTTACATCAGCATAAGTCTGGAGTAATACAAGCAGCCACATTTGTGCGTGTACATGGCAATATGGGTGAAATAATCCTGAACTCACCATTATAGCTACTTCACCTCACATGTGTGTGTAGTCCCATCCCATGTGATATGTATAACACCACATGATGTTTAACACCACAAGGGCAATATGTAGCTATATCGCAACGGTCACCATGGTATATGAAGGGACATGGCCAAAGACACTTCCCACAGTGCCACATAGTGGAAGGTATTGTGTTGTATTTTGTAGACACACTGGTCCCCGGGAGCAACAGCGGCACGGTGGTCGTCAACAGCGAGGCCAACACGTTACAGTCGGAGCTCGGCACCATGGTCATCAACGAAGATACTGAGGATGACGATGGAACAATGAAGAGTAAGAGAAAGAAGTTGCATTTTCACAGTGACTACTGTCTACTGACATGATTGTGATGGTTTACCTACATGATTGTGACAGTCTACTGATATGATTGAAAAAATCTACTGACATGGTTGTGATGGTTTACCAACATGATTGTGACAGTCTACTGATATGATTGAGACAATCTACTGACATGGTTGTGATGGTTTACCAACATGATTGTGACTCTACTGATATGATTGTGACAGTCTACTGATATGATTGAGACAATCTACTGACATGATCGTGACGGTCTACTTGAATGATCCTGTCGGTCTAATTACATGATTGTGAATGTTAAGTAATGTGAATGAGACCGTCTACTGACATGATTGAGAAAATCTACCAACATGATAGTCATGATCTACTGACATAATTGAGACTGTCTACTGACATAATTGTAACAATCCCCTGACATGATCATGACGGTCTACTGACATGATTGAGACTGTCTACTGACATAATTGTAACAATCCCCTGACATGATTGAGACTGTCTACTGACATAATTGTAACAATCCCCTGACATGATTGAGACTGTCTACTGACATAATTGTAACAATCCCCTGACATGATCATGTCGGTCTACTGACATGATTGAGACCGTCTACTTACATAATTGTAACAATCCCCTGACATGATCATGACGGTCTACTGACAAGATTGAGACCATCTAGTGGCATCTACTGACATAATTGTAACAATCCCCTGACATGATTATGACGGTCTACTGACATGATTGAGACCATCTACTGACATAATTGTAACAATCCACTGTCGGGATCATGACGGTCTACTGACATGATTGAGACCATCTACTGACATAATTGTAACAATCCACTGTCATGATCATGACGGTCTTCTGTGTCTATCCCCAGGACATGATACAGCAACTGCGGGGAAGGAAAAGTACCGTCCAGCGTATCTCGACCATTTTGAAAGGAAGGAGCAAGAGGAGAGACAGCGCTCCACCCCGCAGCCGACGTCTGCCCCACAACCTCACCTACAACCCGCCCAGCCAAAACAGATTACCCCACCACACCACTTCCAGAGATCATTCATGGATGGAGACTTTGAGTTTGTGAGTAGGCCTTCTTGATGAAAAATCGTTGTCACAATATCAACCACTGGCTTGTATGGTCCAGACTTGAGTATTTACAGGCTACTGTCGTACGGCTGGAATATGAGTGTAGCGTTATACAACATGAGAGGCCGACAGGGGTCTGTCAAGACAAGCACTTTGTGTTCTTCTTACATTCAAATTGCTGATACGGCAACTGATTATGATTATTTTTAGAACAGTGAAATAACAATGTAATCTTTCTGACCATCAAGACGAAGCAGAAGATATATTTGAAATGATGTGAGATTTGCTGAATGTCTATTTCAGCTACGGAACCTGGCATATGAAGAGCTGGAAGCCCGCCTCGCTGACCTTGACCCTGAGATGGAGAGAGAAATTGACGAGCTCCGTGCTCGCTACCAGGCTAAACGACAGCCTATATTAGAAGCTATTGATGCCAAGAAGAAGAGGCAACAAGTCATCTAACTCACTGTCATATCGAATAAGTATCTCTGGGAAATGTGTGACTGGCAATGTACATAGCAATGGGAACTTTTTGATCTGATAAACTGAACTCTTTATCATATCTTTGTTTACAGTGGTTTCTCTATTTACCTTCGTAGTTGTAGCCCTAACTTTATCTTTGGAATCGGATGTATTGGTGAATTGGCATTTTACTTGTCACAAGTGTACGCGAAATAGTAACTATCATGTTTGTAGATTGCACTGACTTCACACATGACGAGCAGTGCTGCCTCTGAAGCCTTCCTTATTCAGAAACACCAATACACCAGTGTCAGTTTCTACACAGATTGAGATAAGTGTCACCAGACCATGGTACTTCTTCAAATCATGACAGGAAATTATTTTTCCCCTTTCCAAGTAGTCCCTTTTACCTCTATATTCTCATCATGTAGATTGCGTCTGATCTTCATGATTTCAGCATTTGGATACAAACAAGACAATATAGCAATGTCTATAAGTCCAACCCAGAGTGACCTCCCAGTACTTATAGTGTCCAGTACTGGGGTCTCATCCTATTCACAGCACATCGGTATGGACCCAGTGAGTAAGATCACACTGTAGGAATTATTAAAGAGCTCCGAATCTCAAGGACACTCTTAGTCATTTTTTTTTATATTATTACTGACTCATATTAATGTTTCGTATTCAGAAAAATCTTGTAATTTCATACAATTTGTGATCGACACAGGTTAATTTTTTTACTTGCTTTAAGGATTTTTTTCTAGTAGGCCCCCCAAAAATTAAAAATTAAAAAAGCAAAAATTCAGATTAGTTTTTAATTTTTCTCATTCACAACAAGTAGGTTGGTATTAAAAAAAAGAGCTTCTTACACGAAAAATCTTGTTTATTCGTTTGTTTATTAAACATTGATGCAAATTTAATAAAAGTGGGTCTTTGTTATATAAATTTTTTTTTTTTGTCCATTTCGACCAAATTTAGTTTGTGGCACCGTTAAGCAAGTGAAAAAAAGTGTTGCCTAACATTTATCTGGGGGTGACATGATAAAGCAAAAGCAATGTCATGATACAATACAGAATGCGATATGCATATTCACATCCAGTCGCGTGGGAAACTAAATATTTCCAAGCAGGTTTATGAATTGTCATGCATCTAACAGTTTGAAGTTAGTGAGTAAATAAGAAAATATGCAATGTTTTGATGTAGATTAAAGAAAAGAAGCAAAATAAATTATTTTAGCAGGTGTATCGTCATGTATTGAATAAGAAAAAGTGTATCACGTATTGTTTCGTGGCATGGAAACTCTGCACTGATGTATCGTTTCACCCCTACTTATATCATTCTATCTTGCTTCATTAATATCTACAAGATCTATGTACATATTTACATGCCACTTACGCTCTGTAAGTGTATGTTAACTGATTGGATCAGAAAGTTCCCGCTTGATCTGAAGTGTATGTGTGGTATCCTACACAGAGATAAATCATGGTCCTTATTTTCAGAACAAAATTGTATGTATTTATTATGAAAGGACAGCTGTCTGTCAGACAGGCTGTACCAGGTGTGTCATTGTTATTGACCCTTGTACCCTCTCCGTATCGTGTATCAATTGATGTATCACCCACTCCTGTAACTTGTTGGGCTGGAGCGATACACCCCAGTCACAATCTTATTTCAATTATGGTACATAGTTCATGATATGAATCATGCCATGATAGCAGTTATGGTACTTTGTTCCTCAATCGAGTCGTGGTACATGTTGTATCTCTATTTACTTCATGATTTGATACAAGTGATACATTTTGTGCCATGGTACCTTTTTGGATGATATTCTACTCAAAAGAAGGTAAGGAACACCCAATTTTCTTTAACCTTTTTTTCAGTAGTATATAATGCAAGTCACAATGAAAAAACTCATACTTTTTAGAAATTGTGATATCAGTACATGCTCAGATTTAATAAATGTTATATATAATAAATATTGTTGTTTGAGGGTAAAATGTTGATCAATACCAGAGAACATCGGACGTGTAGATATTTAAAAACTTCTTTGAAGCATGCACATCAATTCAGAATGAACATGGTGAAGTATGGTGTCGTTGATATCACAGGGCCTTATTTCAGCTGCAGTAGCCTGGTGGTGTCACTCACTGGCAGCGTCTGACTGCTCTAGTCGGACTCGCCTCTCGGACACACCCATTGATGATACCATTGGCAATGTGCAATCTGCAGTCATAGGTTGAACCATGTTTGATGGATAAGAATGATATTTTGAGCCTTTTAACACATCTTGGCAGGTTCCCAAGAACCAAAAGAATGAAATGGTCATTTCAGTTAACAGTGTTGTTATATTTCCAAACAAGTGTAAATATGTAAGGTGCTACACAAAGACTTCTCTACTTGATAATCATGTGATCCCAAAGAACAGCATGACTGGACTTGAAGTGAAGTCTGTATAACCACATCTAACTATCCTTTTTAATCATTTCATTTTGTCAGAATGTACCATTTACACTACAAAATGGTTATTACAGCTGGTTTTGTCATATGCATTGTCTTGAAGTTGTCAGAAGCTGGCTTCGGCATGGCTTATGTTATCTACAGTCTGGCTCCACAGTGAGGTGCCTGTGTCCACGGTCTGGCTCCACAGTGAGGTGCCTGTGTCCACGGTCTGGCTCCACAGTGAGGTGCCTGTGTCCACGGTCTGGCTCCAGAGTGAGGTGCCTGTGTCCACGGTCTGGCTCCACAGTGAGGTGCCTGTGTCCACGGTCTGGCTCCAGAGTGAGGTGCCTGTGTCCACGGTCTGGCTCCACAGTGAGGTGCCTGTGTCCACGGTCTGGCTCCACAGTGAGGTGCCTGTGTCCACGGTCTGGCTCCAGAGTGAGGTGCCTGTGTCCACGGTCTGGCTCCACAGTGAGGTGCCTGTGTCCACGGTCTGGCTCCAGAGTGAGGTGCCTGTGTCCACGGTCTGGCTCCACGGTCTGGCTCCAGAGTGAGGTGCCTGTGTCCACGGTCTGGCTCCACAGTGAGGTGCCTGTGTCCACGGTCTGGCTCCACAGTGAGGTGCCTGTGTCCACGGTCTGGCTCCACAGTGAGGTGCCTGTGTCCACGGTCTGGCTCCACAGTGAGGTGCCTGTGTCCATGGTCTGGCTCCACAGTGAGGTGCCTGTGTCCACGGTCTGGCTCCACAGTGAGGTGCCTGTGTCCACGGTCTGGCTCCACAGTGAGGTGCCTGTGTCCATGGTCTGGCTCCACAGTGAGGTGCCTGTGTCCACGGTCTGGCTCCACAGTGAGGTGCCTGTGTCCACGGTCTGGCTCCACAGTGAGGTGCCTGTGTCCACGGTCTGGCTCCACAGTGAGGTGCCTGTGTCCACGGTCTGGCTCCACAGTGAGGTGCCTGTGTCCACGGTCTGGCTCCACAGTCTGGCGGCACGTCACAGAGACATGTATAATTTACACTACAGCTTAGTCTGTTACAACATATGTTAAACAGTTAGAGGTAACATTCACTGTGGAGTGTCATGGAGTCTGCTGTAATTCTGTGTTTTGTGAGTTTTAAGCAATGTTCAAGTTTGTTAGATTTATGCCGTTGTTCATTTATCCAGTGTTTCTGCACAGTTTTCACACGTAACACTCCATCGTATAGCTAGGAGTCATTTCTCATTTACAGCTACAAATCGGTACAGCATTAGCAATGTTTGAAGTTTGCCTTTTGACGTGGGACATCTTGTGAGACATTTGATCAGATGTGTTGATGGTGAGATTATTTAGACTTGAGGTGTAACAATGCAGCAATCCTGGGATACAATCATTTTGTTACCTTGAACAAAGGATATATTTGTGATGGTCCTGAGGAACTGGAGTTCTTATATGGGTTTCACTGTATAGTGTGTCATAATGACATTGTGGTACGTAGTGTATCAAAGAGACATTGTGGTACATAGTGTATCATTTGGGTACAAAGAGTATCATTGTGACATTGTGGTACCTGTGTATCATTCTATGTATGGTGTATCACAGTGGCATCTTGATACAGGAAATTGTGACATTGTGGTACCTGCGTATCATTCTATGTTTGGTGTATCACAGTGGCATCTTGATACAGGAAATTGTGAACATTGCTGGAATATATAGGACAAACTTACCTCATTTCAGGGTTTGTTTCTCCACTTATTCCATGCATTTTTATGATTTTCTACAGACTGCATTGACTGAGTAAGATAAGAAAACCCAAGGAACAGTTTCTCGTGAAGAATTGATAAAGTAATTGCTAGTCAATTTTGTTCTGAGGTAGTTCAGTTTATACAGAGCTGTAGTCCTTGACACTAAAAATAGAATCCTAAAATATCATGATGATTAATGAAAGAATATACTTGCCTGTGTGCTAATACTTATAAAGTTAAAACAAACCATTCCGTCGAAAACATCATCATTGCGTTTTGGACACGTGGTTACAATCCGGGTAACTCTGGCAGTCAGGTTTACTTTATTTAGGCTATATTTAGCAGCATGTTCAGCATAAGCGCATTACCAGCAGAAACTGAAATAAAAAATGTGCAGATATGGTATTTAAAGCACGATGGACCAAGTTCACTGCTAAATATAACTGCTCACAGTCACCTAACTGCCGATTCTTGCCTGGACTGTAGCCACGTGGTCAAAGCGCATTGATGATGTTTATCGCATGCAAAATGGATATTTCTTGAAAACTTTGCACTTGGCAATTTTTGTCACTACTGTAAGTAATATTCCTTATCTTTGGAAGGGCTTGTTTCGCTTTATGAGTATTGGCACACATGCAGCGATCTTCTTCAATTCATTTCGTGATTCTATTTCAGGCTCAAGGACTATAGTTCACCCTCCTCCAAGTTAGCTCAGTTTATTTAGAGCTAGATTTATTTCTTTATGACTTCCAGCCCATATGATTCAGGTACCATTCATACATGATTGCACTGCAGCCTTGTGTGTATTGTATCCTGTATTGTTCCACCCCTGGTCCAGACTGTTAGGAAAGGGCAACAGCTCTTGATCCACCCCTGGCCTTAAACTTCAAAAGCAATCAGTAAGACAGTGCTGTTGATCTACCCCAGGTCTAGACTGTTGGGAAGCAGTCAGGTGACAGTGCTGCTCATCCATCCCTGGTCTAGACTGACAGGAAGTAGTCAGGTGACAGTGGTGAAGATCCACCCCAGGTCTAGACTGACAGGAAGTAGTCAGGTGACAGTGGTGAAGGCCCACCCCAGGTCTAGACTGACAGGAAGTAGTCAGGTGACAGTGGTGAAGGCCCACCCCAGGTCTAGACTGACAGGAAGTAGTCAGGTGACAGTGGTGAAGGCCCACCCCAGGTCTAGACTGACAGGAAGTAGTCAGGTGACAGTGGTGAAGGCCCACCCCAGGTCTAGACTGACAGGAAGTAGTCAGGTGACACTGGTGAAGATCCACCCCAGGTCTAGACTGACAGGAAGTAGTCAGGTGACAGTGGTGAAGGCCCACCCCAGGTCTAGACTGACAGGAAGTAGTCAGGTGACAGTGGTGAAGGCCCACCCCAGGTCTAGACTGACAGGAAGTAGTCAGGTGACAGTGGTGAAGGCCCACCCCAGGTCTAGACTGACAGGAAGTAGTCAGGTGACAGTGGTGAAGGCCCACCCCAGGTCTAGACTGACAGGAAGTAGTCAGGTGACAGTGGTGAAGGCCCACCCCAGGTCTAGACTGACAGGAAGTAGTCAGGTGACAGTGGTGAAGGCCCACCCCAGGTCTAGACTGACAGGAAGTAGTCAGGTGACACTGGTGAAGATCCACCCCAGGTCTAGACTGTTGGGAAGTAGTCAGGTGACAGTACTGCTCATCCATCCCTGGTCTAGACTGAGAGGAAGTAGTCAGGTGACAGTGGTGAAGATCCACCCCAGGTCTAGACTGACAGGAAGTAGTCAGGTGACAGTGGTGAAGATCCACCCCAGGTCTAGACTGACAGGAAGAAGTCAGGTGACAGTGGTGAAGATCCACCCCAGGTCTAGACTGACAGGAAGTAGTCAGGTGACAGTGGTGAAGGCCCACCCCAGGTCTAGACTGACTGGAAGTAGTTAGGTGACAGTGGTGAAGATCCACCCAAGGTCTAGACTGACAGGAAGTAGTCAGGTGACAGTGGTGAAGGCCCACCCCAGGTCTAGACTGTTGGGAAGTAGTCAGGTGACAGTGGTGAAGATCCACCCCAGGTCTAGACTGAGAGGAAGTAGTCAGGTGACAGTGGTGAAAATCCACCCCAGGTCTAGACTGACAGGAAGTAGTCAGGTGACACTGGTGAAGATCCACCCCAGGTCTAGACTGACAGGAAGTAAGCAGGTGACAGTGGTGAAGCGCCACCCCAGGTCTAGACTGACAGGAAGTAGTCAGGTGACAGTGGTGAAGATCCACCCCAGGTCTAGACTGTTGGGAAGTAGTCAGGTGACACTGGTGAAGGCCCACCCCAGGTCTAGACTGACAGGAAGTAGTCAGGTGACAGTGGTGAAGGCCCACCACAGGTCTAGACTGACAGGAAGTAGTCAGGTGACAGTGGTGAAGATCCACCCCAGGTCTAGACTGACAGGAAGTAGTCAGGTGACAGTGGTGAAGGCCCACCCCAGGTCTAGACTGACAGGAAGTAGTCAGGTGACAGTGCTGCTCATCCATCCCTGGTCTCTACTGACAGGAACCAGTCAGGGCCATTGATCCCAAGAAGGAAAGTACATGGCATGTTTGACCTCGGCTGTTTGATGTGTTGTTCTCGAGTTAATGATTACCCAGTCACAACTGAGACATTGTCTCACACAACACAAGACATGGCCTGGAAATGGGCTCCAGATCATGGAGTTTAGTCCTCACATAACCCTTCGATTGAGCAGTGTTTGACAGGAAGGTAGCTACAGTGACCTCTCACCTATACAACACATTGTTCATCACATTATACTGTTGTGTGTCATGCTAACACTTTGTGTTGACTAACACTTGTTGATGGAACAGTTCCGCTTGTTGAGAGGTACAGGGTCTTATTGTATAGAAATCAGTGTAGATACATATGAATTGTAACAACATATGAGGGAATGTTGAACTGTATTAACATGTATATTGAAATAAAAACTGAAAATTGACCTGAGTTGTATGTGTATTGGAGGGGAACTATTTTGTCGGGAAGCCTGGTAACCAGTATGCGGTGAATGGCCTGTGTTAACTTGGACAAATGTATTGAGTTGGGCTGGCTATCTTGTACAAACACACTGGTCGGCAGCAACCTATGCTCCTCCTAAGAGGCGACTTGATGGATCGAGTTGTCAGGCTCAGTTAGTGGATGGCTGTGTTTGTACCCAGGTGGGTGGATTGTTGTTCACAATATCAATAACTGGATTGTCTGGTCCAGACTCGATTATTTAAAGACCGTCATATCATATAGCTGGAATATTGCTGAGTGTGGCGTTAAACCACAATCAAACGTAAAAGGAGTTACTAGTAACCTTGTCTGGCATTAGAGGATAAAACAAGAACTGGTTGGCTCGGAGTCGGTATGAGTGGGGTGTCCATGCTGCTTTTAAACTGGCATATGTCCGGACTCGTAGAAGCAGTCACAGATACATGCACGTCTCCATATAAGTGCAATGATCTTGAACGCAGCGTTAAATCCTTAATTCACCTCACCCATCGGGGAAGCATGTAAGTCTGGAGTCCATGTGATCCAATTATTTATAGGACCAGCAACGGGATGGGATCCAACCCGGTCCCTGCACTGTCATCTGTTTGTGAGTGAAGGTGTTTCAAGCTTATCAGTGGCAAACTACTCTTGCCATGTTGACGCCGCCACCGTCTTAGCTGCAATATTGCTGAGTGCCGCGTCAAACAACAAACAAAAGAACATTATGCCAACTCATACCATGTTTAAGAGAAAAGTGCCTTTAACACATGCGTGCATGCAGTTTTATTCGTCAGTGTTAACCAAGGAGTTTAGTCTGAGTTGTTTTGTGCTGCAGTCTAATTTTTCAGCCATATTACTATGGTGTCTGAACCAGGCATGTGGTTGACAGCATGAGCAAAGGCTAACGCGACTGAAGCACGATAACACACTGTTTGGCGCTCGGCATTAAGGGGCTAAACCAAGGACTGGTCAGCTCAGAGTCAGTTTTCTGTGTCTGAGTGGGGTATTCATGTTAAACTGCACCTGGTATCTCAGTGAGCTAGCACTATGAATCGGCATCAGTCCGGACTAGTACAAGCAGCCACACACACACGCAGGTGCTATAGATACTCTGGGGAATCTATTCCTAAACATGAAGCATGGGCTTTCCTGACCTTTTCACACACTTTCATGTTAGATCACTGTTAAATGTGTTTGAAAACCATCGGATCCTCATCTTCCAATATCAATATCCAACATCTGACGTCATTTTATTAACCCAGAGACGCAGTAGCTGCCCCTTTATCGTTCTCAGCCGTGAAGATCCGGGGTAGAAAATGTCTTCAGCACCCCATGCTTGCTGTAAAATGTGGTCAAGCTTGCTGGCTTGGTTGATGCATGTCATCGTATCCCAATTGCGTGGATCGATGCTCATGATGTCAATCACTGGATTGTCTGGTTCAGACTTGATTGTTAACAGACCGCCGACATATAGCTAGAATATTGCTGATTGCGGCATTAAACAACAAACATAATAATCAAATAATCAAAATGGATATCGTAATAAAACGGGTCTTACTTCGCGAAGTGAATCAAATCACGTGAGCTCTACAAATCCTGCAAGCGACCGAAATCTGAATGGCAGTCGATTTCGTTTGCCGATTTTGATTGGACTATGCATTGACTCGTCAGTCCAGCCAAAATAAAACTCCACAATGCCAGCCAAGTTCGGCAAGTAGGGAAACTGGACTTATATAGTCAGATAACTCCCTTGACCCGGGAAGATGTGCAAACTTTTGTAAGAATCCGCTACGCGGATTCATACAGTTTGCACATCGGTTTTTCGATTCATACCTCAATGAACCGAAAAAAATAAACAGTCAATCCTTAAATGGTATATATCACAGTGTACGTTATTGAAGATGGTAGGTTTCACTGTGAGGACACTGGTGGCCCAACCGTTATATAGCTGTGCAGAGTTGCCTCCCTTGGGCACGCCAGAAACGTAGGATCATGGGTTCGAATACCGGTTCGACACAATAATGTTTCACCTCCATATCGCTGCTGGCGTGTTTAAACAAAGTGTTACACGTCTTGAACGTGCATTGTGGGTTTTCACTCACTCACTCACTCACTCTGCACTGCCCCCCCCCCCCGCGAAGAATGATCACCAATGTATTAGCCTGACACAGCTTTTGAGTCACAGCACTCCACACGAATTGTCCGGAAGCTGGTTCATCTGATAGCGCCGACCAACACCACTCACAATGAGGATGCGCAGACCATTGTCTTGTAGTCAACGCTATACAACCCTTGACCCGGAAACCCATGGTATGGACCACGTGACCTGGCACTGTTTACTGAAAGAGCAAGCCCTACGCTTAGCTACAGCTGTATTGTTGAAGCGGAGGGAGGATTTGTTTGTTTGTAACGAGGGTAAGTGTAGGATTTACACAACATTATGAATGATTATAGAATTCTTGATTATAAAATAAGTTTTCTTTTTCACTCTCTGACATATTTCCAATCCTAGTTTTATTTAATTTGTGTTTGTATAAGTGTACATGTTCAGTTCACATTGACATACATGTGTTAATATAATTAATAGCTGTTCATACACATGGCATCATGCAGGTATATAATTTTATATAATATCTAATTTATTCCAATGTATAAAATAATACATTGGAATTATAGCCATGTATACGTGTGTGGAAAGTATGATGAAACTTACTTTTCAGGTTTTGATGTTAACAATTTGTCCGACATTTTCATTTATGTTATATTCAACCTAACAAATCCACATACAATAGAGTGGGTGAGTGAGTATGGTTTTACGCCGCTTTTAGCAATATTCCAGCAATATCACGTCGAGCTTCACACATGATACCCATGTCGGGAATCGAACCCGGGTCTTCGGCGTGACGAGCGAACGCTTTAACCACTAGTTACCCGACCGCCCCCACATACAATAGAAAGAAAGTCAACAATAGTATTTATGTCATATTATAAATGTCAAAATATGCATAACATCAGGTAGCACTGGTTTTTTTGTTTTTACGGTCTGTAAATAATCGAGTCTGGACCAGACAATCCAGTGTTTGACATCATGAGCATCGATCCACGCAATTGGGATCAATGATTTGCATCAACCAAGTCAGCGAGCCTGACCATCCGATCCCGTTAGTCGCCTCTTACGACAAGCATAGACGCCTTTTACGGCAAGCATGGGTTGCTGAAAAGCTATTCTACCCCGGATCTTCTTATTTTTAATCAGTGTCAGTGTACATGCATATGTTTTAAATCATTTAAAAAAAAAGAATTTAAAAAGTTGAAAGAAATCTGATTAATCACTCACAACCATCATATACAAACGCGCAACATCATGTTATGATTCTTGAAGATAATAATTAGTACGTACTAATGCCGGTTTGATAGTGCTATCCCACTGAGATACCAGCTGCTGTTTTGCAATGAATGCCAAGCGCTTGGAAACGCCTTTTAAAGTCTTCTTTTGGTCTGACGCGTCCGGGGTTCGAACCACCACTGTCCGGGCATACACTCTATCCAGCAGACCAGGGAGGCGGCCCTCGGAAACAAGACATTGGACCAAGCAGTTCCCCACCAGCCTGTTAGTCTATACCAGGCCATTTCGGCGTTTTGTTTCAATCTTGCGTGTCTCATGAGACCACACTCATAAATAATCCCTCAATATGGCGGTGGCCTGGAAATAATGGAGTCTGGGTTAGAAAAGGAAACTGTTATGATATTTTGAGCAATACAAATACCTGTAATCACCTGTACCTTGAGCTCCCTATCCTTTCAGCCCCCCCCCCCCCCCCCCCCCCCCCCGTACAAGTATAGGCTGAAGGAGGTGTGTGTGTGTGTGTGGGGGGGGGGGGGGGGGGGGGGGGGGGCATTTTCTCACCCCAAACCCCAACGGGGCGTTTTGTTTCAGTTCAAAAAAAAGATTGCGGATTTTATCATCACTGCATTTGTACAAAGAGTAGAACATGATCACGAACGATGTCGTCCCGGTGGGGTATACGCCACTCAAACTGCCATTTAAACTCATGTGTTTCCCATGAGTTGTGATGCCACCCCATACCATTACACGTCCACCCCCCAACTAACGACACTGAGCAACGCACGCATCGCTAAAGTATTATCCTAGACGCCTTTGCACGACCATCAGAGATGTCCAGCTCCGCCACAGCTGTCTGTGAACAGTATTGTTTCCCAGTCTTGTCTTCTGAACCTTAAGTGCTGTCTACAGCAAGCTGGGTGTGTCAGACGGGGACGTGGAAACAAAACTGGGCGTTCCACTAGACGTCGGGGCCGGGTGTTGAGCTCTCTCAACTGGTTGCGTACGATTTTGCCATAAATTGGTCTCAACTCAGGAATTATTATTAATGTGGCAGTATCAGCCGAACATGATTGTCTTGTTGACGTTAGGTCACACGTGGACGACCGTTCGTGCTAAGTCATGAGATAATGATGTGTTTCGATGAACATTACATGTCTGGCAACTTTGTTTTGCGCCAGCGCCGCCTCCTGGTCTAGTAGTAGAGCGTCCGCCCGGAGAGCGGAAGGTCCGGGGTTCGATCCCCGGCCGCGTCGTACCAAAAGACATTAAAAGATGGTACTTGTTGTTACTCTGTCTGGCGCTCGGCATTAAGGGGCTAAAACAAGGACTGGTCGGCTCGGAGTCAGTATACTGTGTCTGAGTGGGGTCTTCATGTTAAACTGCGGCATTGTATCTCAGAGAGCTAGTACTATAAATCGGCATCAGTCCGGACTAGTACAAGCAGCCACACAAACACACACACGTACATGCACGTCGCTATATAAGTGCAATAATCTTGGACGCGACGTTAAACCCCATTTCACCTCACCTCTTCTTGTTTTGCGCCATTCCTGTTTACAGCATACCCACAGCGCGCACACGTTGATTTTCAATCAGCCGTGATTTTCGGTTAAGCAAAAGTATTTTTTATGAGTACCTGAGAGCTAAACACTAATTGTCTGTTGTTCACATTAAGAATTTACAGGTGTACGAGTATCATGCTCCTAACAAACACGCGACACATCCAAATTGTGCACCTTGTGTTAACATGTATGTTCAAACTGTGAACAACGACCTTAAATCGAGATCTTCATGAATAGGTATTTTTTATGAGTACCTGAGAGCTAAACACTAATTGTCTGTTGTTCACATTAAGAGTTTACGGGTGTACGAGTATCATGCTCCTAACAAACACGCGACACATCCAAATTGTGCACCTTGTGTTAACATGTATGTTCAAACTGTGAACAACGACCTTAAATCGAGATCTTCATGAATAGGTATTTTTTATGAGTACCTGAGAGCTAAACACTAATTGTCTGTTGTTCACATTAAGAGTTTACGGGTGTACGAGTATCATGCTCCTAACAAACACGCGACACATCCAAATTGTGCACCTTGTGTTAACATGTATGTTCAAACTGTGAACAACGACCTTAAATCGAGATCTTCATGAATAGGTATTTATATTTAATTTCTGAATATAGGTATTTTTATTGAACTTTATATAAAGCACAGTTGCTTTTGTCCGTTAGTATATGTTCAAACCGTTCATTGGAATATTTGGGACATTTTCGAACTGAATAGACCCGTGAAGATCCGGGGTATAGAATAGGTCTTCAGTAACCCATGCTTGCCGTACAGGGCGACTCTGCTTGTCGTAAGAGGCGACTAACGGGATCGGGTGGTCAGGCTTGCTGACTTGGTTGATGCATGTCATCGTATCCCAAGTGCGTGGATCGATGCTCAAGATATCACTGGATTGTCTGGTTGATTATTTACAGACCGCCGTCATATAGTTGGAATATTGTTGAGTGCGGCGTTAATCAACAAACAATACAAAAAATCGAGCTGTATAAACAAATTTTACCAAAGTGGTTAACGTCCACGACCTTCATTACGTTGCATTTTCCTCCCACAACAACGTCGCGCCGTGATTAACTGACATGAATTTCGCAACGATGTTAAAACCAACTCGCTCGCTCACTCACATAAGAGTCGCGCCACATCTCCATAATTAATGACTTTAAGAATGTTTGAATTATATTATTGTACATTTCACGGTAGTGGCGTACAGTATTATATATCAGCTACACGGATATGGACTCATGACGATCCGGGGTAGAATAGGTCTTCAGCAACCCATGCTTGCCGTAAAAGGCGACTATGCTTGTCGTAAGAGGCTACTAACCGTGTTCAGGTGGACATGCTCGCTGACTTGGTTGATGCATGTCATCGATCTCAATTGCGTGGATCGATGCTCATGATGTCAATCACTGGATTGTCTTGTCCGAGTCGATTATTTACACTCCGCCGTCATATGGCTGGAATATTGCTTTATGTGGCGTTAAACAACAAACAAATACAAGCATTGCCCTTCACACACACACACACACACACACACACACACACACACACACACACACACCGATTATGTTTCTAGGTTTGTCAGCACCATACCCGTGCTCGTGGGTTTCACCGAAGTGGTAAACGTCTGAGACCTGCATCACTTGGGGCTTTCCTTCCACATTTAGCTGACACGCCGTGATATAACTGCAATATTGTTAAAAGCGGCGTTAAACCCAACTCACTCACTCACTCAGTTCAACGATGACCATTTCACAATGTCATGATTACATTGCTTGATTCGTCACCAATGTCATGTGTTTACTTGTACACATATACAACGCTGATACCAACACTTTATTGACAGGAGATGGGACCTGTCATATTAAGCAACGGGAAAGCGCACTGTCGTTTGTCAAGTGTGTGTATGTGCTAGAGGTAACGCTATAGTTTGTTTGTTTGTTTGTTGTTTAACGCCGCACTCAGCAATATTCCAGCTATATGACGGCAGTCTGTTAATAATCGAGTCTGGACCAGACAATCCAGTGATTTGACAACATGAGCATCGATCCACGCAATTGGGATCGATGACATGCATCAACCAGGTCAGCGAGCCTGACCACCCGATCCCGTTAGTTGCCTCTTCTGACAAGCATAGTCGCCTTTTACGGCAAGCATGGGTTGCTGAAGACCTATTCGACCCCAACCCGCTAAAGGCGCATTTACTGCGTATCCCGGTTTATATAATGACGTCAGATGTTGCATGTAAATATTGAACGATGAGTAAGTCCGATGGTTTCCCTTTCCTGAAAGGGCATATATTTAACATGAATCTAACAAATTTAACAATAATCTAGAATGAAAGTGCGTGAAAATTTCGGGAAAGCGCATGTTTCATGTTTAGGGAGAGATTCCCCTGAGTGGAAATGGTGCGTCGATGTGTATAAATGTCAGCGCGTAAGGGGTATCCTTGTTAGTATTTCTGTCATACAAAACAACAACCACATGTAAGTGCACAGAAACAGAATAGAAAGTTGAAGAACCTATACTGACGAGTCACTGTGAAACGACACCTGGTAAGTTTGTGTGTCTTGTGCCCGTGTACTCTGGTACTACAGTAGCTCTTAGTGACGTCCGTCAGGTGGAGCCAAGTTTCTTGTGTACAAAAACATTGGTTCCCAGCTTACAAATGTATCTGGCATCTATATGTCTGTCATATTTATATATCTGGCATCTTTATATATCTGGCATCTTTATATATTGGACTTAATATATCTGTCATCTTTATATATCTGTCATCTGTATATATCTGTCATCTGTATATATCTGTCATCTTTATATATCTGTCATCTGTATATATCTGTCATCTGTATATATCTATAATCTTTATGCATCTTTTTATCTTTATATATCTGCCATCTTTATATATCTGCCATCTTTATATATCTGGTATCTTTATATATCTGCCATCTTTATATATATCTGTCATCTGTATATATCTATAATCTTTATGCATCTTTTTATCTTTATATATCTGCCATCTTTATATATCTGCCATCTTTATATATATCTGTCATCTGTATATATCTGTCATCTGTATATATCTGTCATCTGTATATATCTGTCATCTGTATATATCTGTCATCTGTATATATCTATAATCTTTAATGCATCTTTTTATCTTTATATATCTGCCATCTTTATATATCTGCCATCTTTATATATATCTGTCATCTGTATATATCTGTCATCTGTATATATCTGTCATCTGTATATATCTGTCATCTGTATATATCTGTCATCTGTATATATCTATAATCTTTAATGCATCTTTTTATCTTTATATATCTGCCATCTTTAAATATCTGCCATCTTTATATATCTGCCATCTGTATATATCTGTCATCTGTATATATCTGTCATCTGTATATATCTGTCATCTGTATATATCTGCCATCTGTATATATCTATAATCTTTATGCATCTTCTTATCTTTCTATATCTGCCATCTTTATTTATATCTGTCATCTGTATATATCTGCCATCTTTATATATATATATATATCTGTCATCTTTATATATCTGCCATCTTTATATATATCTGCCATCTTTTTATATCTGTCATCTGTATATATCTGTCATCTTTCTATATCTGCCATCTGTTTATATCTATAATCTTTATGCATCTTTTTATCTTTATATAACTGCCATCTTTATATATCTGTCATCTTTATATATATCTGTCATCTTTATATATCTGAATGAATGAATGAATGAATGAATGAATGGTTTATTTACACACATACATTACTATCGAGTTTATCCATCAGAGATGAGGAGAATAAATCCGTCATCTACATCTATATATATTTGTCAGTTATATATTTCTATTTATTCAACAAACCTTCAATACAATAAAACAGGAGGACGGCATTGTTTCTAAATGATACTGGATGTCATCTAACCATTTATGAACAACGCGTGTATGCTCAGGAACTCCCAAAACACTGAGACCAACACTTTACTAACGGGGACTTATTACTCATGACGTGAAGCATCGGAAATATCCGCTGTCACTCGGGAGGGAGGTAACGTTAATAGCGCAGTTACTGCGCCTCTGGTTACTGATAAAACAGGCCATGAATATACACATCGGAAGTCGAGGTGGATCGAAAGCCTTGATCTCTAACATATCCAGATTCCCTTTAGTCTAACATCAACGTCCGGCCTTCTTAAAGTCATTTTCAAAAATAGCTTTCTAGTGAAGGGGGAAATAATACTGTAAGAGTCCACAAAAATGTTCATAGAAGAAACAGATTCGCGAAATTCACTGTACTGTGACATCGGGTGTTCGCGAAATAGGTGTGCATGTCGGTGTCGGTGTCGGTGTCGGTGTCGGTGTAGCTACGTTACTTTGTTTCTTTTATACCCGGTGTCATCACATGTCACTTAACTTTGACACCCGAGTTTAGTCCTTATCGAGTGAGTGAGTATGGTTTTACGCCGCTTTTAGCAATATTCCATCAATATCACGGCGGAGGACACCAGAAATGGGCTTCACACATTGTTCCCATGTCTGGAATCGAACCCCGGGTCTTCCGCGTGACGAGCTAACACTTTAACCACTAGGCTACCCGACCGCCCCTTAGTCCTTATCGATGCAACCCTGTCTGTTTCCTGTGGCAGTCATCTAGAATACAATTCTAGGGTATTTCAATACTGGGACAAAGTTTCCATGTAACTTACACACTTACACCAAAAACGTATATGTACCTTTTCACTCTTGACATGTCTTTATTTTGTAATAACAACTTCTCTACAAAATAACTTTAAACAGAAAGGAATAACATTTATTACCCATTTTGTTTATCAGCTGTAGAATTGCGTAAGTTACCTTGCGAAACAAGTCAATCCTTCTTTTCTCCTTTGATATATGTAACAAGTTACTTTACATATAAATTATAAAAGCAATAGAATATGTATACTCATAAGTTAAATTGTCAGTGAATAAAACTACACGTGGACGACATGAAACTTACGCAATTCAATTACAGGTGGTGAACAAAATGTCCCGTTTTCTTTGTACATTGTAAACATTTTTTGCGCAAATTTCACAGTTAGATAAATGCATATCTAAGCTTGGCCAGAACAGCTTTAATGACCGATTCTATAGACTTATATTTTTGGATGCCATTGTCACACGTTTGTGGCCCAGTATTCAAATAATGCACAATTACATTGAGAAGCAGTGTGTGGAAAGTCCCCGCTAATTACATTCCACGCCTCTGGGGATATGTTCATACAGGAAACAGGATCTAAACCTCATGCAACAGTAACGTTTCGTTAGATAGCTTGTAATATCCGCATTGCCTTCATACTCTTTAAACTGGGAGAAACATTCACTATACATCGCGTCACGCCGAAGGCCCGGGTTCGATTCCCCACATGGGTACAATGTGTGAAGCCCATGTCTGGTGTCTCACGCCGTCCCCACATTACTAGAATACTGCTAAAAGCGGTGTTAAGCTCACTCTCTCACTCACTTCTAATGGCTACTACAAATAGCTTCACCCACTGTCTGAGGATGTTGTAAATTGTGTAAGAGCGGGTAGTCCAACATGTCGCATAAAGGTGAGCGTTAACTTGTATATGTCTTGTATGACAAGGGGGGATTTCTAGTTATGGAAACCGGACCACCCGGAATGTCATCGTTCTTGGGTGATTGGGAATCTGAAACGGCAATGGTACCGGAAGAAGGGTAAAATCACATCCCCGCAGTTAGAAAAAGCCGACAGGTGAGGTGAGGTGAGGTGAAATTGGGTTTAACGTCGCGTCCAAGATTATTGCACTTATATAGCGACGTGCATGCACGTGTATGTGTGTGTGTGGCTGCTTGTACTAGTCCGGACTGATGCCGATTTATAGTGCTAGTACACTGAGATACCATGCCGCAGTTTAACATGAATACCCCACTCAGACACAGTATACTGACTCCGAGCCGACCAGTCCTTGTTTTAGCCCCTTAATGCCGAGCGCCAGACAGGGTAACAACAAGTACAATCTTTTAACGTCTTTTTGTATGACGCGGCCCGGGATCGAACCCCGGACCTTCCGCTCTCCGGGCGGACTCCGACAGGACAAAATCGCGGTACATCAATAAACAAATTGTTAGCAAGGTCAAAGAGCTGTCCCCTGTGACCTCGACCTGACGTTTAGGACAATGACAGAACCCTTGTCATTTCCGCACTTCCGGACCGGAAACTATACATCATTCATCGCAGCGAGTAGATTTTCTGCGAAGTATAATATACATACGTATATGCACACTATACGTATCAGTACTGCGTTTAACTATTACAGACGTAGATTGAAAGTATAGATTTGACTTCCAGCTCTTTCAGTGCCTTAAACGTGCCATGTGTTATGAAACAGCCATCATCTTACGCTAATATTTATGTTTATAACTTTCCAGAAATCTTATAGATATGTATTTTGTTTTTACAGCTAGGATCGTCATGGAACTGACTCCAGTTATGCAAGACAATTCAACAATATGGCATCCGAGTTCCACACTTATGCCTATAGACAATATATCCGTGTCAATTACCAGTACAGGTGTTCCATATCCAAACATCGACAAATCAGAGTATCTCGACGGTCTAAGCAATGAGGAGGCAACAAGGCTACTTCCGGTTATGGTGTACCTTGGGATACTGATGATCGTTGGCCTGGTGGGTAACTGTCTGGTCTTATACGTCCACTTCCGGAAGTTCAACCCCAGTACGACTAGGACGTACGTCGTGTCGCTGGCGTTCTTTGACCTCCTTAGCTGCCTCATCTCAGTCCCCGGGGAAATTGTAGACTTGAGGTTTTCCTTCACGTTTGAAGCGGTGGCTCTGTGTAAAGCAGAGCGATTCTGTACCACATTCACCTCTCTGGCATCCGGCTTCACGTTGATGGCGGTGGCTGTCGACCGCTTCAGGCGTATCTGTCATCCTTTGAAACAACAGCTGCAGACAAGTGGGGCCCGGAAGGTCGTACTTGGGGCCTGTCTCCTCTCAGTTCTCTTCTCTTGGCCCGTTATCGCCATCTACGGCAAGAGGTCCGTGGACACGGAGTATCGCCTCATCAAAGGGATTGAGTGTTCGACGGACGATGAGTACAGAGTTACAAAGTATCCGGCAATTTACACAGGATCCCTGTCCCTAATATTCATCATATCCTTTGTTACCATGATAGTTGTCTACACCCTCATAGGGAGGAGGGTGTTCCAGCAGAAGAAATTCAGAAAGGTGTCCACGAGCAAAAGTCTTCAGCGGTCTCGGAGTCTGTCTGGCAGCGACAAGATGCCAGCTTCACCAACATCACCGAGGCCTGCACCGGAAATGGACAGACCCTCCTATGACGAAGGCCCGTCGGAGTATTCCACAGCTTCCATAGATCCCCATGTGAAGGATGTCAGTCTCACCCGGAAGCCCTCTTTCATGAAGCGTTTCCAAAAAGGGGCCCAGGACTCTAGGAGCAGGAAGACGACATTCATGTTGTTCCTCATCACCATGGTGTTCGTGTTGAGTTTCCTCCCCCACCTTGTCCTGAAAGGAGTCCAGGCGGCCAAGAGATCCTTCCCGGGGGATGCGAGCACTGCGGCCCTCATCTTCTACAACATCTTCGTGAGGTCCTACTTCCTCAACAGCATCTCCAACGCCTTCATCTACGGGTTCTGTAGTCCACGCTTTAGAAAAGAATCTAAAGCTCTCCTTCAGGCTTTAATGTGTCATAAGAGATGCGCGTCGCTGTCCATCTCGAAAACCAAGGTGTGAGTGGTTTGTTACCAGGTGCGGACACGGATGGTGGATGTGGGAGACTGAGATGGTTTGAGAACGGGTGGACAACAGGAGTACGCGGGAGGCGTTAGAACTGATGTATAGCGTGGTCATATGTGAGATAATATATATCAGAAACACCGGATATATTAAAAAAAACAATTTGCAGGTTTATGTTGCAGGTGTAAGGACCGATATGCAGGTGTGCATGACAGGTGTTACAACACGTATACAGGTACCTAGGTTTGCTTGACAGGTGTTAGAACACATATACCGGTGTGTCAAGCCAGGTGTTAAGAACAGATATGCCGGTTACGTGGCAAATGTTAGAACATATATGCCGATGTGCGTGACGCCTGTTACAACAAAAAATCAGGTTTGCTTAATATTTGCTAAAACAGATACTAGTGTACAGGTGTGTTTGACAGATTTTAGAACAGATATTCAGGTGTGCGTCACACGTGTTAGAACAGATATTCAGGTGTGCATGACAGGTTTTAGAACAGATATTCAGGTGTGCGTCACACGTGTTAGGACATATATTCAGGTGTGCGCAACACGTGTTAGAACAGATATACAGGTGTGCGCCTAACGTGTTAGAACAGTTATTCAGGTGTGCGCGGCAGGTTTTAGAACAGATAATCAGGTGTGCGTCACGCGTGTTAGAACAGATATTCAGGTGTGCGTCACACGTGTTAGAACAGATATTCAGGTGTGCGTCACAGATGTTAGAACATATATTCAGGTGTACGTGGCAGGTTTTAGAAGAGATATACAGTGCGCGTGGCAGGTGATAGAATATATATATACAGGTGTGCGTGACAGGTACGTTCGGTTCACGTGGACAGTCACAAATGGCATCGGCAGACACCATGATGGTTATTCTGTGAATTCAGTTATCATTATTTTTTCGTGTGTTGGACGTTTTGAACAATGGCTTAACGCTAACCCTGGCTCTGCCTTGCGACCATAAATTCATGCAACCCGGGAGGCTGCTGACGTGAAAAGTAGATGACGCATGATGGCACTTGAGTTACAGACCATCATGCGACAGTGTACAGTATGTGGACAGTGGACTGATAAAATCATGCGGCAGTAGACAGTGTGTGGACAGTGGACTGATAAAATCATGCGGCAGTAGACAGTGTGTGGACAGTGGACTGATAAAATCGTGCGGCGGTGGACAGTGTATGGACCTGTGACTGATAAAATCATGGGGCATCGGAGAGTTTGTGGACAGTGGACTGATAAAATAGTAGGGCAGTGTACAGTGTGTGGACAGTGGACTGATAAAATCATGGGGCAGTGGACAGTGGACTGATAAAATCATAGGGAAGTGTTCAGTGTGTGGAAAGTGGACTGATAAAATCATGCGTCAGTGTATAGTGTGTGGACGGTGGACAAACAAAATCATGCGGCAGCGGACAGTGTGTGGACTGTGGACTGATACATTCGTGTGGCAGTGGACAGTGGACTGATAAAATCATGCGTCAGTAGACAGTGTGTGGATAGTGGACTGATAAAATCATGCGTCAGTAGACAGTATGTGGACTGATAAAATCATGCGTCAGTGGGCAGTGTTTGGACAGTGGACTAATAAAATCATGCGGCAGTGGACAGTGTGTGGACAGTGGACTGATAAAATCATGCGACAGTAGACAGCGTGTGGACAGTGTTCTGAATAACATTCATCGTACTCTGGGTGTGATTCACCATTACCTCTCATTGTACTGTACTCATTGTGGGGCGACCTTGACCTACAAAGGCTTAAGTCCACGACGTAGATGTGCTTCAGCTGTGACTCACTGAATATATAACATCCACACTGCTGGGAGGAAAGGCGGAATTGGACACGCGTATGAAGACATCGTTTAAAAAACACGCAAACACGTCTCCTCTTTAAGATATATCCAGTTTGTTGTCTGAGATGGCTAGCCGTACAGTTTCCTTTTATTTCAGGGCAGGTAGCATTTCCGACGACGTCGTTGTCGTTGTTGACACAGGTACTACAGTATTGTTGTCATGTTGAATTAAAAAAAACATCTTTGTTAAACCATGGTGCGTCGTACTGATGTCGTAAGAGGAAGATGCAGGGGTACTCAGGGGTACTCAGGGGTACTCGGAATGTGAAGTGAATTATACCACACCACACCACGCGGGTCACTGTAGAACAACTAGCGATTGAATGTTGTTTTAAACCACAGCTAGAGATACTGTTCCACGCCGTCGGAGTACGATGACACACACACGCAGCCAGATGACTGGCCCTATCGTCGCTGAAGTCTTTTGCGACATTCACTTGACATCGGCCAGGAATCCCCAGTTATCTTTAAGTGTCATTTGGAAGCTGGGGAATATGAATGAAGACAGGTTGACAAATGAATTTCAACTTATGTTTTCATTACATTGTATTGCAAGAATATATCATTCCTGTTTTTATTCATAGAATGGTGATTCCGGCGATAGCTATTCACCAACGTTGGAACTAGTCCCAATGATTATAAAAAGATGTACATTTTCATTAAAACGAACGTATCGGTCGCCATTATTTGTATTATCAATCAGATTCTTTAATTGAAGCAAAGTTTCCAAATATCCCAATCTTCATTAAGTCAGGGTATGGACTACTTGAAGACATGCAATTTTCAAACATACTACAGAAACCTACATTTCGTTTTCTAACTACCATAGCCGCTGTCACTTTCACGTATCGTAAGTCCTTATATCGCATACGCATTCCGTATGGTTAAAGGTCTCTACGTTACCGTTTCATAATAGATTCCCAATCCAATTAAATAACATGTTTTTACACCGATACGATACCTCTCTGCATGCTTGAAGATCTCACAAATAATCAGGTCGCGTCAAGTAATCTTTCTAATCAGCAAGTCAGTACCTACGCTTTTAAATTTCCAAATTACACTGGAAATTCTGAATGGAAAATGATAAAAGCCAATAAATATTCCAATCGTTTTTAGATTTGGCGGTTCACCAAACTAGACCTTCTCAGTGTCTTACCGATCTTCACACAGAGTGATGATGTATCAGAGTGAAAGATTTATGAAAAATTATGAGATTGAATAAAACGTTTACTAAATATTTCCATGATATTAATTGTGCCTTAGTATTTTCCTCTGATCATTTTGTCTAAATAACACAACCACGCAGGTGTCCGGTTTTATTTGAGAAAGATAATAAAACTATCCTTCAAATACTAAATAATATAATTCAACATAATAATCATACCTAATATAAAAAACATTGAAAGAGTATACATTAACGAGAGTGAAATGATAGTATATCGTGTGCGAAATAGGCATAATGATGAAAGCGTACGTAAAATCACCAATTGGTTTGATAATATTGTTAACACCTACTATAACTTACAAGCTAAACATACCGACACGCCACAAAACAGATGCAGCATAACACAAGGCACACATTAACCTTGACGATTATATTCGTTATTATATTTTCATAGGTAATTTGATGTTAATCCAAGAGATATTCTTCGACCATCCCCTCACTTAAACAAAAAATCCGAAGAACATTTTTTTTTATTTTGTGAGTGAGTTGGGTTTGACGCCGCTTTGAACAGTATTCCAGTTATATCACGGCGTGTCAGCTTAATGTGGGAGGAAAGCCCGAAGTGGTGCAGGTCTCAGACGTTTACCACTTCGGTGAAACCAACAACCACGGGTGTGGTGCTGACAAACCTAGAAACATAATCGGGGCGAACCACAATCATAGGTTTCTAGCGTTCCCAAGGGACGCAACTCTGCACAGCGAATCGCGGCGCCTTATAGACGACTGGGCCACCCGTACCCCCTTTGATTTTTTTGGACGTGGCCAATGTATAACACTCGGTTATCCGGTGTATTGTATCTCCACCTTCTTATAATAAATCCTGGAAACCATTGGATCGTCTTGAGCGCAACTCAAACGGCACGACGCTTATAATACCCCTCCAATCAAATTTCTGTCATGAGCGAGATATATGGTCGTCGCTATTTTACGCAATTTTCGAGACCGCGGTAGCGTACCGCTTTTATCGAGTTGTATAGCTCTTCGTTTATGCTGTGCTAGATTGGAGATATAGGAGCGGTGACGGTGACGTCACTTCCGAAACGAAGCTGTGGTGCTGAATAGGTCCATAGTATTAATCATAATAAAATAGAATAGATATAATACCCTTGTTAATCGAGGATGCCAGTTCGTATGGATGGTGATGGTAGGTGTACTTTAAGAGGCGTTATTTTCCTTGAAATCTCCAATGTTTATAAACAAGGAGTGTCCAGTACAACATGTGACCGCGTGGGCCTAAGGTCAGGTAATTCATACAAGGTTACATCTCGCTCTTGGGGCTTCCGGTTTCCGGCGTCATGTCGAGTGCGCTTGTGACTGTAGCTGGGCTGAATCGAGTTGAACACCGACAGAGACAGAGACACAACTTGTGAGTGGCACTCAGGAACAACATCAGAACATGACTTCTCAATTTCCCAAAAATTAATTGTATACAAAATAAATCAAACTACACGATGTTTATGGATTGCTGGAACTGTGGTGGCATAGGCGCTGGAGATGCCTGGAAATATAAAACAGACACTTGTTTGCTGGCCGGGTGCTATACGTGTGTAGCCTGCATCTGCAAGTGCGAGGCACATCACTCAATACAATGCTGAAATATTTCAGATTGTGATCGTGACACACAGACAGTGTGTGTGTGAGAGAGAGAGAGAGAGAGAGATAGAGAACAAGACAGAGTGGGGGAAGAGATATAGAGAGGCCGGCAGAATTAGAGTGAGAGAGTGATACACAGAGACAGACAAACATACACAGAGACAGACAGACGGGTACAGAGAGACACCGGGAGAGATGTAAAGTGAGAGACACAGAAAGAGAGAGACAGACAGGGAGAGAGCGAGAGACAGAGGAGGAGAGAGACCGAAAGACACACAGAGAAACAGGCGTTTTTCTTTTCAACCATCTACAAACACAACAAAAGTCACGACAGAAACTTGATTCGTCTGTAAAAGCGAAAACACATGACCAATAACTTATCTTACATTTGCTGGTGACACTGGATGTACAGACGTTATAGCTGTTTATAAGCATTTAACATTATCACTTGTTTCTGCATAAGTAACCTTTATTCAGTTTTTAACCAAATACTTCCGATTTGTCGTAAGATCGAAATCCGTTGTGTCATGGTGCAGGTGTGTATGTAGTTGGGCCGCGTGTTAGGGCTGACCTGCTGACACAATCACCAAAACTGTCAGCTGTCGCAATATCCCAGCCCAGCCATCAAGCAAATAGCCGATCCCGTCTGCATTACGAGAACTTATTTGACATGTTTAATCGACAAGATGTTTCAAATTACTTTACTAATCTTTACATAAGACACCTTTTTTTTCTTCTTTTTTTTTGGGGGGGGGGGGGGGAGGGGGGTGACTTGGATCATTCAGGCATACTATCTGTATTGTTCAGTGATAACATTGATGAGAATACAGCTTCACACCGAAGTTTGATACATGAGGTGTGCCTGGTTGTCTCTGGGATAGTACTCTAGTTTATAACTATAGAATATTACCATGAATGAAAACCTGGATGGTAAACATTAGTAAAGCCTATTGGGAGACTTCTTGTCCAGTAGACCCGTGAAGATCCAGGGTAGACTAGGTCTTCAGCAACCCATACTTGCCGTAAAAGGCGACTATGTTTGTCGTAAAAGGCGACTAACGGGATCGGGTGGTCAGACTCTCTGACTTGGTTGATACATGTCATCGATCCCAACTGCGCGGATCGATGCTCATGATATCAATCACTGGATTGTCTGGTCCAGACTCGATTATTTACAGACCGCCGTCATATAGCTGGAATATTGCTGAGTGTGGCGTTAAACAACAAACAAACAAACAAAAACCTGTCCAGTAACACTTATAAGCGGCTAAAACGATTTGTTTGGGTAAAATAATCATGTAATTCAGTTATCTTTAAATGTAATGTATATAGCGATTCTGGATTATCGAGCAACAAGGTTATTGTAGTAAAACAGATAGTTTCTTTTACAGAGCTGCTGCTCCAGACCCGTGTGTGGTAGCACCATACCGGTGTGGCCCTCAAATTTATTCACTGGGCTTGCCCACACCAATTTGAGCAAGCAGTGGGGGGCTACTGACTGAAGCGTTCGTAAAATATATAAATCTGCCAGCACCTCACAGATGTATGATGGATATTTTAAAGGGAGAGTCTGCTATAGACGTTCTTGTTGATCAACTTTGTCCAGAAAACTGATTCCGACGGCTTATGCCTGTATGTTCAAGTGGACAAATTATCAAGTATCAAGTAGTTGCCAATATGAAACGAATAATGTTTGTCTACGATTATAAGGGAAACTATTTTGAAGGTAAACACATAGGCCACTTGAATCCTTTCTTCTGTGAAATGTACGATGCTACGAGTATGTACATCCGAGAGTATTGATAAAGTTCAAGAACTGGTGTCTTTATCATAAACATTTTCATAGTCTAAATAATATATTATATCAATGTTATATGTATATAAATTGTTGTTTGTTGTTTAATAAATTTAAATCCTTACTCAGGAATATTCAGTGTGTAGATAGTATATTATATCAACGAATTGTAATAATCCTAACTCCTTGGTCTGAAATATTCAAGCTTTATGGCTGGTCTGTTAAAATATAGTCTGGACCAGATAATCCAGTGATGAGCATCGATCCACGCAGTTATGAGACAATGACATGCAATGAACCAGGTTACTGAATCTAACCACCCAATCCATTAACTCTTACACCAAGCATAGGTTGCGGGGGACCTTAGACGCGACTTTTATATCAACTGATTATAATAAAGGTAAACAGCCACGGGTCATTAGAAGGCGGCCATTACACCTAAAAACATAATATACAAAGCTTTGGAGAACAACCAATGAGAAAAACATTGTTTAGACGAGCAATTATACCGTAAACATATATCTTACGTCAAGAGAGCTTACAAATGGTATGAACACGGAGTCTGACGCGAGGGACAT